TGGGATGTCATAAAAGCTCCTGTAGGTGTAATGTGTAGGTGCCTTGTCACTTCTGTGTATGTGCATATGTTTTGTGCATAGGGACAAACATAAATGTATATATATATATATATATATATATATATATATATATATATATATATATATATATATATAAAACCATCGCCACAGGAGGCTCTGGAGGCTCTTACATTACCAATGTAATATACTTTGGGTCGGCTAGGGGGATCCTGCTTTTTATACCAAACAGACTGCTGCTTGTTTTGAACCATAAACCATCAAATTTTTTGATTGCTGGCTTCAGTGAAATAGTGGGAGATATTTTATCATAAACTGCCTGAAACATCAGTGGGGCATGTGGTCAAAGTGTTTGTTTTACTAACCATTCTGATTTGGACTCACTTGTGTGACACAGCTGTCTTACAAGTAAATTAGCCCAGGCTCTAATACAGCAATGAACTGTCAAACCATAACACTTCTACCACCATGCTATGACCACAAGGGCTCATGCTGCCCAGGAAATTGCACTGTCAGTTCTTCTATAACACAGTTGTGGTGAGTCTGACCCACAACTGTCTTCTGCAGAACTGGAGTGGAACATTTTGTATTTATCAGCATATGAACCGATGTGTTCTAAGCTAAGGAATACATGCATCCATGAATCCTGAAGGCCTGCAGATTCTTACAACCTTTATAGGAATCTTATTACTTCATTGATAATTTCAGATATAACTGTCCTTGGAAGGACAGTTCTTGGATACCACACGTCCCAGACTTCACTTCGACAAAGCTCGGGGTTAGTGACGCTCCACAGTCCATGGAAATAATTACACAAGCCCATTCTGAAGTCTGGAATCAACACAGACAGACATTTAGAAAATTTGCGGGTCCTTAATAATACGTATGCTGCCAACTTCACTCTGGTAAAGGACAGACAAATGCTTTTTACACAGCTGACCATAATTACCACTACAGCCAGGTTTGGTTCAGTGATTTTTCTTTACTCTAAAACTTAATTACCTTGAACAGCAAACAAACGGCAAGATCCACAAAACTGGTATCTGGCGTCTTTCCTCTAACGTCAGAACGGCCATTAAGGCTACTGTTGTACCGCCACACCCCCTCATCACTTGTCAGTGATCTGTCAAGTGAACGCTACGCTGAAAGTCTGAGACCTCAAATGCTTTCACGAGTACTTCATGTTCTGTATCTCACAGAAAGTACATTAAAAGAGTTTCCAGGTCAACAAAGGCAACACAAAACTACCCAAGATCCTCCTGTGACTGTAATTATGGCCATGGATGGAACATTGTCGTGCAGGGCTGCTGGGCACAGGCATCTTTGGAACCCCCCACTCCACCCCTAAACTCTATTACTAATATGCAAGATATAAATAAACAAACAAACAAACAAACAAACAAACAAACCTTAGGGTTAAACCATAGTTCACATTTCTATTTACAGTGAGGGAAAACAAGCATTTAGATGTTTTTTGCTTCCAGTGCACATATCCACTTCAATTTACACACAGTTTTGACTTTTATACTTATAAATATGAACAAAAGAAGATATTCATAAGCTTGAACAATATATGTACAAGCAATATTGATGGGTGGAAAAAGTATTGAGACTTAACAAATGAATAACTTTAGCTCTTTGTTGTTAAGCTGTCGTTGGTCATTATAGCTCTGAGATGTCTACTGTAAGCAGTAAGTTGCTTTTTGCAACATTCTGGTTCAAATTTGGACTGTTCTTTTACGCAAAGTATCTTCAGTTCCCCAATGTTACCAGGGTCCCTACAACGGACTCCCAATTCAAAATCCTCCATATGTTTTCAATGGAATTCCAGTCAGGAGATTGGCTAGGCCAGGGGTCAGCAACCCAAATGTTAAGAAGAGTCATTTTGTCCTTTCAGCAAAAATCTAACCACCTTGGGAGCCACAAGATTTTATGTCCATTTTATCATTGTTGCTGTAAATATGTCTCAGCATCTGCTAATGTACTAGTATAGGCTAACAAACATAATATAAAAGAAAACGCAGACATACTTTGCTCTGCTTTAAGCTTTAGCTCAGCTATAGCTGCTGTTCTCGCATCTCTTGCAGGAAACCTTTACTCAAAAGTTGAATAGTTTCTTCAAAAATGTCTCTCAACAGCTAACTTTTTACGAGGCTGAAGTCAGCTTCTCATTCGCCAGCTTTTAGTTCAAATTTTCCCGGTCCACTTTAAATGAATGAATGTAACTGTTGCACCATTTAAAGTGGAACAGGAAAAAGCTGGCGAACGAGAAGCTGACTGCAGCCTCAAGACCTTTTAGCGTTTGACAGTTTCTCATTGCAGATTAAACGTATCTGGAAACCAGCTGAGAGCTTATAAATGCAAATAAGTCCATTTGTCTCCAAATTATCGTTGTTCATCTTTCTTTGCCATTTCGTTAGCTACTACCTAGGCAAGATTGCGTTGCTATGGTGACCAGCATTCTCTGCGATGATCTTCAGGGTTAAAGGGTTAAAGATTGGTGAATTGTCTCCTAGTATGTCACTCCTTTCATGTGTCCTTTGATGCCGTGTAATGCTCCAGCACCATTTGCAGAGAAGCAGCCCCATCTCACGATGCTACCACCACCACACTTCACTGTACGTGGTGGTCTTGGGATCATATTCGCAACCCTTCTTTCTGACGAGCTGAATTATTGCCAAAGAGTTTTATTTTTGTTTCTTCTGACTAGAGTACATTTGATGTGTCTCACTGAAATTTTTAGATGCGCTTCTTTATTAGCAGAGGAGATTTACATGGGCTGTAAGAACAAAGACAACTGAAGTGCTCACTGCTCTCTGTGTAACTGTTGTTCCTGCTGCCTCCAGGTCAACCCCTGGCTGTCTGAGGCCCCCTGAGGCCCCTGGCAGTTAGAGGCCATGGGCACTGGCTCCACTGGCCTGGTCAGTAATCCGTCCCTGACAATGGCTCCATCCAAAAAGCATCAGAGTCTCAGTTTGGTGCGGGGTTAGTGAGAATAAGTGGGGTGGGAGCCAGCACAACAGAGCCAACAGGTCTGTGTTCTCCTTGGCTTTGAGGGAGTGGTGAAAGCAAGTAAGAACAGAAGGAGAGTAGAGCAGGGGCTCAGTGCGCTTTACACCCTTTCTGTGGCTTCTCTCTGGCATTCTCTGAGTGCTTGACGTGCATTTTCTGTCAGATTGTCCTATGAGCTTGAGTTTTTTGTTTCTCTGAGTCGTCAGTGGGCGATGAGAGTTTTCTCTCTGAGTATTTGAGTTCTCTGTTTGGTGAGTGGTTTTTTTCCAGGGGCATTTAAGTTTTGTGTTTCTCCGAGACTTTGTTGTTTTTTTTTTCTCTCAGTTTTTGAGTTTTCTGGTTCTCAGAGTCTTTGGTGGCTGTTCCTCTGTGAGCATTTGAGTTTTCTGGTTCTCAGAGTCGTTGGTGGGTGCTTTTTCTCTCTGAGTATTTTAGTTGTTTGTTTCGTCTCTCAGTATTTGCGTTTCTGGTTCTTTAAGTCTCTGGTAGGTGTTTCTTAGGGTCTTTGGTCGGTGTTTTTTCTCTCTGAGTTATTGAGTTGTCTGTTTCTCAGAGTTGTTCGTTGGTGTTTTTCTCTCTAAGTATTTGCGTTTCTGAGTCTCTGGTGGGTGTTCTTCTCTTTAAGTATTTGAGTTTTCTGATTCTCTGATGGGTGATTTTCTCTCTGGGTATTTGAGCTGTCTGTTTCTCCAGTCTCAGGTTGGTGTTTTTCTCTTTGAGTATTAGAATTTTCTGGTTCTCTGACTCTCTGTTGAGTGTTTTTGGGGTTTTTTAGTCTTTGGTGGGTGTTTTTCTCTCTGAGTATTTGAATTTTCTGGTTCTCTGAGTCTTTAATGGGTGTTTTTTGAGTATTTAAGTTTTGTGTTTCTCTCAGTCTTTGATAGAGATTCTCTATCAAAGTATTTGATTTTTCTAGTTCTCTGAGTGATTGGTAGGTGTTTTTCCTCTCTGAGTATTTGATTTTCTGATTCTCTGAATCTGGTGGGTGTTTAACTGAGTATTTGATTTTTCTGGTTCTCTGAGTCTGGTGGGTGTTTTCTCTCTGAGTATTTGCGTTTCTGTTTCTCTGTGTCTGGTGGGTGTTTGAATCTAAATATTTGAATTATCTGGTTCTGGTTGAATTATCTGAGTCTGGTGGTGTTTATCTCATTGAGTATGGTCTGGTTCTCTGAGTCTCTGGTAGGTGTTTTTTATAGTATTTGAGTTGCCTGGTTCTCTGAGTTTGGTGGGTGTTTATCTCTTTGAGTATTTGAACTCTTGTTCTGAGTCTCTGGTAGGTGTTTTTTTTTTTTAGATTATTTGAACTGTCTGGCTCTCTGAGTCTCTGGTAGGGTTTTTTTTTTAGAGTATTTGAACTGTCTGGTTGTCTGAGTCTCTGCTAGGTGTTCTCTGCTCGTGCGTTTCCCTGAATGTCTGTTTCTGCGCGTTTCTCTGAAAGTTTCTCCTGGCCGTTCCCCGCTGTAATTACATCAGCTCGCAGGAGCTTCCAGTCACTGCTCGGGGCGCTGCGTCCTCTGGAGACGGCGGCAGGATGAGTCTCTGATGCGGCTCGTGCGTGAAAACTCGCCTCTCGGCCGCTGGGAGTTCTAGTCCGGACGCTTCCCGGTAACACGCTGAGGCTGCGCGCGCTGACAGCACTCACTCAGACGAACCAGACGAAGAAGAAAAAAAACCCCTATGGCACGAGGTGAACGGGAACGTAAAGATGTCCACGCGCTTAACGTGTTTCTAATTAAAGCCTCGCGCCATGTAGACTAAACTCGAGAGGGATCGTCATCATCACTATCATCATCATCATCATCATCATCATCATCATCATCATTCTTCCTACGTCTACGAGGGACGATAAAAAAGCGCGGGAGACAGAAGTGGGGGGAGTTCAGCTCGCGAGGTTCTTTGCCGCACGCGTCTCCGAGTTGGATGGACAAGCTCGGCCGCGCGCGCGCGCTACACCGGACACACCGGACACACGGCTTTCAGCGCTCGCGCCCCGGCGACTTTTAGCCCAGTTTGAAAAGAAGAAAAGCAGCGAAACGACCAAAGCAGGACTGAAACCTTTCGGGAATAAGTTATTGACTGAGTAAGTCAACAGCTGATTTTATTTATTAGTAGTAGCCTCAGTTATGATGTCTATTTCTTTCCCTTCGCAGCTCCATTGTGACTTACAAGGACGCATAGCTTCAGATAGTGGCTATCAGTTAATAAACTCTGCTTTATTCCACTTTCAATCGCTGCTTTCATAGTGGATTCCCACTCTGAGAGCAAAAAGAAAAACTCCAAACAGGTTCGTTTTGGTTTGGAAGCTGAGTAAAGCAGTGTCAGTGTTATTCAGGGCTCAGCTGCACCAGTCTTAGTCCCTTATTATTTAACCCAGAACACCTGACTCCACCACCTATGGGTTACAAGGCTGAGCATTAAGCACAGACCAATCAGACTGCTTGCATTCTTTTATTTGAACGCTTAAAAAAAAGTTAATGCAAGTGCCTTGAGTCGTGACGTCACGAAGACAGCCAGGCTACAATTTGCATCCATATTTTTATAGGAGGTGCTGGATTCAAGTGTCCAGGGTCATGGGCCATCAGATCATACGGGACAGCGTGCATAATGGATTTGTATTTGGATTTTTTATTGCTTTGTTAATATTCAGTAAACAAAGGCTGAGGAATCTGATCAATGTAAGTGATAAAATCCAATTTTTAAGCAACATTTGTGCTGAAACTGTGTTTAGCCTTGAATGACAAAGTTATGTTTTTTCAACTTCCCAGCTATCGACAGTATCTCTTATGGTTCATTTACTAGTAAGCATCAGATTTTGCTGATTTTTTACAACGTAATTCAATAGTTGAGATGTAAACAGTCATTCAGAGTGGTTTGGTGTGAAATGGTTTATTGTCGAAAAACTTTCAGACTGATTTATTTACAGTGGTGATGACTGGAACCTAAAGGCTGAAAGAATAATAATTTGTTGAAATCAATTTCACATTTTAAAAGCTGAGAAAGAGCTGCAATTTTGTATTCATGCCCTACCTTTTCAACAACATTGTCTTAAGTTTTAATTGGATAAATTTAACCTAATAACACTGAGCGTGGAACTGCCTATAGATGAGTTAGACCGATCAAAAGAAACCCAAACACTCATTTTCTGTGACATCACAACCACAACTGGAAGTCTGGCACACTACACTCAGCATTCAAGTCTTGAGCCAGAAAAAATGGATATTATTGGACCTCAATATATAGACGATAATCACAATTTAAATCGCAGTCATATTATTTTGCCAGAAAAATTGCAATTAGATATTTTCCCCAAATCGTTCAGCTCTAGTGAACCGACACATGTTGTGTGAGATTTAATAATGGTAAAATAGTCATAAATCTGGAAAAATATATATATTTGGGGGCTATTTTACTCTAGAACACCCTGCAAGTATCCCTCCACCATGAATGCATAAAAAATGTAAGCCAAAGATTTATCGCAAAACTATCATAAACAATGTCTGAGGCATCGGGCACCGTGTTCCTGACCATTTTATTAATAACTTTCTGTGATGGAGCTTTAGAGACATTGAACTCTTCAGATGTCTGGTTCCTATCACCACCACTGTGAATGATTCTGACCTTTCACATCAAACTACTTATGAATGACTGTTTAGAACTTAATGACTTAACTATGCAGAAATAAAAAATCAGTGGAATTTCCCTTTAAAGCTAAAAGGTAATTTTTTTAAACAGTCTAACTTGAGGTTTCAAGTCACTGTGTTTAAACACAGAGGCACATGAATCAGCTGTGTGGAAGCGAGCATTACTGAGTGGAGTGGATTCAGCTCCTATGGGTCAATGTGTTATAGGTCACATGGAGCGCTGAATGACAAACCCATCCTTTAATTCAATTTCCCACTAGAAATGACTTTTGTAATTAAATGAGCCTATTTGCGCAGTTCCCTGTCACTCATTTAGTCAGAATGCATTAGAAAAGTAGCTGAAAATGGAATAAACCAAGGATCCTCTAATCAGAATGACAGTCATTCTTTTATTCAGTTTTCCCACTAAAACTTGTTTTCTTTTAGCCCATTTAAAAGAAATCTGCTCTACAGCAGCTGAAATGGAATAAACAAGAGTTTGCTAGAGTGGGCCATATTACCTGATAGCTCACTATCAAGTGGGCACCTAAATCCAGCCTACGTCAGCCTAGTTCATTTAAAGATCTGTCTCACAGAAAACTGAATTTCCTCGCTTTTTAAAATGAAAGTGTTTTTAAACATTGTTTCTAAATGTGTTTTTCACTCTGCAGTTCCATATTTGGAAGCTAAGCTGCAAAAACAGCTGATTTTGAATGTGTTGTTTTTGTGATCTCACAAAATACAACACATTTACATAAGCCTACAGCAGGTTAGCCCCGCCCACTCATGTCAAAGTTATAAGGAGTTTTTCACCCAGGCTGCTTTTTGAATGAGGCTCAATACAGGGCCAATCAGAACAGTTATATCAGTTATACCAGTAAGGAACAGTAACATAAAGAGCCTTTTAAAGGGCTCATATCCTTCATTTTCTTGTATTTTATATTTCCTTTTGAGATCCACTTATAACACTTGAGTGGTTTATGTGCCAAAATGGTCATAATTCATTTCTTTAATGACCATAATCCAAACTCTCTTTTTCCCTTAGAATTCAACAGGCTATTTTTGTTACTGCACCTTTAATACTGATTTAAGATAAATGAGCTCTGTTCTGATTGGCTGCTCTAGGCTGGATATGTGGATAGATGTAAATAAGTTGGTTCTTGTGACGTCACAGAAACAATGACTTCAAAACGGGCTGTGTTTGCACCATGGCATCCATATATGGACTGTGTGCACTGGGCAGTGAATGACTTGAAACTTTAACAGTGTTTCCATATTACTTCAAATTCCGTTCTTGAAAAAAAACAGGAGGGTTTGTTTTTCAATGATATAGGCCCTTTAAATTCTACGGGATGAGGAGAGGCTGGAAAATGGCCAAACTAACACAAACGTCATAAAGTAACCCATGGAAAAATAAATGCAGGAAAAATGTAGGGAATGGGCCCTTTACTAGTTCCTCATGGTTAACGTAGGAATCCATCTGTATCACCTTTACTGTTCTAACTCTCTCTCTCTCTCTCTCTCTCTCTCTCTCTCTCTCTCTCTCTCTCTCTCCCTCTGTGCAGAGTGGTCGAAGTCTCCGTAGCTCTTCCACCGCCGTGTGACTTTGTCTTCGCGACCTGCATTCAAAGATGCGCGCGCTGCGGGCTCCTCTCGTGGTGGCGCTCGCGCTGCTAGTACTGTCCCAGCGCATGAGCGGGCGGCCGATGGATGAGAATGTGGACGAGAGCGCGCGGTGCTGCGACAACCTGCTGGAGCGGATTACGCAGTCCACCTCGGAGAAAGAGCGCGCGCTGGAGCGCGAGGACGCGCACGGGCACGGGCTGAAGACGGAGAGCGGAGAACAAATACTCGGTAAGAGAAGCAGCGAGCGGCTGGATGCAACTCTGAGCTAAAAGTCTGTAGCCACCTGTTCGTCCAGTGTTTCTTCTGAGATCAAGTGTGTCAGTAGGGACTTTGTCCTCCTGTGCTGCAATAACAGCTTCTACTCCTCTGGGAAGGCTTTACACTAGACGTTGGAACACTGCTGTGAGGATTTGGTTGCAGCCACAAGAGCATTAGAGAGGTCAGGTACTGATGTTGGATGATCAGTTCTGGATCCCAGATGTATTGGATGGAGCTCCATCACTCCAGAGAATGCAGTTCCACTGCTTCACAGCCCAATACTGGGGGCTTTATACCCCTCCAGCTGACACTTGGCATTGGGTATGGTGACCTTATGTTCATGTGCACCTGCTCCAGAGCATCCCATTGTATTGGTCAGTGCTTTTCTTCAGAGCTGTGTGTGCACAATGGACAGCAATAGGGGCACCTTAAAGTAGCTGAATTCACTATGGAAGGTCTTTCTGGGCACTTTGTTATACAAAGTGTACATCTATCAGTTTCAAAAATGTGTTAGTCTGTCAGACGTTGTTCTTCTCTTTTCTCTGGGAGAAGAGCCTAAACCTGCAACCAACATAAAAATGAAACAATGACTCAAGAAAAGTAAAAAAATTTAAAAAAAATCTCCCCATCAGCTTGAAATTCCTTCTCAGAAAGTCAGGATTGTATTCTTAACTCATGTGAGCTCAGCACATGACGTCAAATCAACATGGCTGCTCGCAGCATCAACAGTTAAAAAGAACGCTTCTCTACTTTTAAATGACATTTGCTTTAGATCAGTCAACTTTCAACTATTCAGCCAGGAACTGGTTAAATCTTTAACACTGAAGTTCACTGTTTTGAGATGGTAATACATCAATCATATCACTAACATTAGCTGGCTAGCTTGTTGCTAACAATATTATTCTATTCTATTATATTATATTATAAATTATTAATGATTTTGTAGAAAATGTTGTTGCTGACATTGTGCCAGATTGGTTACAGCTGTATAACTTGCATCATTTATGATATTACAGTTAAAATGATTTGCTAAACTAATTCACAAAAGACAACAAAAGAAAGAAATGAGGGAAAAAGAAGTGAATTGCACTGTAAGTGCAAAATTTGTGTTAAAAAAGTGACATTTTTGTCTAACACTCTGCTTAACCACTGGTGGGCAGCCTGTAAAATGCTAAGCAAAAAGCTGCCAGCTTTGCCATCAGCACACAGCAAACAGTGGCCAGCTATTCTCTTGCTATCTGGATTTTTCCATTTCTGTAGCTCGAATGCACAGAAGTTAAAAATGATGCATTTCCAAGCTTTGACTTCCCACTTATATGCCATGATTTGAGTGCAGCATTAGCTAGCAGGCTAAAAACACCACACACCAGAGGACGGTTAGCTTAAGTCTTAGAGGATAAAATCTCAACTGATCTTGGAGTTACATTAATATAAAAGTACAGCTTAAATTCTGTAGATAAATGATGTTCACTGGACAAACCTAGCGACAGCCATAAGACAGTTTCACCAACTCTAAGTTACAAGTAGTTCACACGTAGCCTAGTTTTACTGTGAGTGTTGAAAGTTAAGTTTCACAAAATACTAAATCAATAAGTTTTACTACAAATACTCATTTTACAGTTCAGCTTAGCAGCTACTAAACGTTTTCACTTTTCCTTACATGTACGCTAAAACCACACAGATATGCTGCTAGATCAGACAAAATACCTGCTAATGTTACATTGTCAGTCAATTAGAATAACCTTAGAGGTAAGAAAACTCTAACTGTAGGCTCTGGTTTAAGTTTCAGCGCTGCTTCTTATAGTTGCTCTAACATCCAGAAGTCTGCTTCACTTTAAGACTCCTGTTGCTGAAATTGCTACTAAACTGCTACTAACACATTTACATATCCACCTTTCAGCCTGCAGCAATTTCACTTAGCCAACTCACATTAAAGTCATAAGGAGTTCTCTACAACACAGAGCAGCCAGAGTAGAGGTCATTTGCATTTATCAGTCTAAAAGGCCCAGTAAAAAGCAGCCTGTTTGATACTAAGGTATAAAGAGAGGATGGAAAATGGGCATGCAAAAATTAATTATGACTGTTTTTACATAGATAAAACTATACAAACATCACAAGCGGACTTGAGGGTGAAAAAATACAAGAAAATTGTAGATTATGATCCCTTTGAAATGTTATTGTACAAACTTAAGTACTGAACTCCTTCAGCTTCTTAGTATATCCAACATCTGTTAAGGAAGGCAGATTTGTTAATATTTCTGCATGATTAAATCATTAAAATGTAAACAGAGTCATTCAAAGTGGTTTGATGTGAATTGCTTTGTTCTACAGAAACTTAGAGGGGCAGATTTGTTAACAGCGTTGGTTATAGGAACCAGATTTCTTAAGTATTTAATATCTCTAAAAGCTATTTTACAGAAAGTTACTACATGAAATGGCAGCAGATATGCTGACTGACAAGACATTGTTTTATGATAGGTTTGAGTGAAGACTTTGGTCAAAAAGATATATTTTTAATATCCATTCGTGGCAGAGAGGTACATGCAAAATAGTCCACAAAGAAAATGTATTTTACTGATTTACCACTCTTTTATTTTTTAATTTATTTTATTAACCTTACAGTTAAAACTCAGAAGACACATGAGGTTCACTCGTACTCCTAGATAGTAAATAAAATGGATATATTTCTGTTGTAGACACCATGAGAACAGGTTCCGGTCACCACCACTGTGGCAAGTGGAATCATGAAACCATTCTCAATGACTTTATTTCAGCAAATTCTGTAAGAGCCATGTGACCATATAAATGACAATACTTCTACTTGTATTCAAGTATATTAAAGAGGAAAGTAACATACTTTGTTAATGTAGGTTTAATTTTATTATGTTACATTAGTTGAATTTTATTATGTTACATTAGTTTATTATGTTACATTAGTAGTGGTTGAATACAGTGTATTTAATAAGGGCTGTTTTAAATGCATAGTGTATTGTGGGGTGATCAGGTGCTCAATTAAAGGCAAATCTGTTGTTTTTTGCCCTAAAGCTTAGAGCTTAGTCAGGGCATGATCATGCCGGGGAATGCTGAGTGATTCGACTGAGTCCTGGGCTTTAGGGTCATCGCTCCCTCCATGAGGTCAGCAGATCAAGACTTGACCTCTGACCCACTCTTTCTCTCTCCTTGCAGAAATCTTCCCCAGAGACCTCAGAAAGAAGGAGAAGTTTTTAAAACACTTAACAGGTGAGTATAGAGGCTGCTGGACATCAGCAGTTTTTCAATAGGGTGAGAATACTGGGCCCACCATAGTGGCCACAATAGCGTATTTACCTATTCAGACAGCACTACAGCACTGGAAATAGATATTCAGTTCTGTATAGGCGACAATATAAAACTCAATATGATAATTAAATCAAAGTGTTTTCAGCAGACACCACTATACTTTTGAACAACACCTTCTCAGGTTCTCAGGGACTTTGACTTTCATGCATTTTCACTGTAAGAAGTTGGAATAATAGGATGGCAACATCCTGTAAAATCGCCATTCAGTCACTAAAGATGTCACATTTTAACGTTCCGTGAAATTATTAGATCAAATTGTTTTCAGTTACATGTCTAACGCGTTCCTGAAGAGACCTTAGGTAATCATGGAATGTCATTTATGCATTTATACTGTAGAGATTTGGAATAATAGGATTGCAAATTGTTCTAACTTGCCATTTATTAAATTCCACAACTTTAGTGTCTTTTTACTCTAAAATGGTTTATATAATGAGATGACAAAACTCAAGTAAAAGTTATAAGAAGATATTTTTATGTTTGAGAACCTATAACTTTTCAGCAAACATCACTGTATTGTTAAGAATCAGTTTTCCAGGTATTTATTCTGTGACTTTCATGCCTTTTTTACAGTAGCAACATGTATGGTAGTTACTGAAAGAGGTCTGTGCGGTAATAATTAGAAATGATGATCCATTAAAAAACATAAGAGCTGCACTTGGGTAGGTGTTCTTCAGTGATCTTGTTCCAAAAACAATTTGATTAAATCTTCTATAAAATGTCAAAATGTGAAAATACTGCATGGCCAATTTTGAGGATTTTCCCCTGTTTCCAAATTCCTTCAAGGAAAAGCAAGGAGATAATGCCATGTGTATCCATGAAGATGTTCTTCATGAATCTGGAGGAATCTGCAGAAAAAAATGTAATTGAAATATGTGGCATACAAATATACAGCACCCTTTGCATGGCCTTTTCCCATCTCATGATTCCATATTGCCAGAGTAAACGCACTCCAATGGGCCTGTCCTGATTATATGTGAAGGTGTTCTTCAAGAATATAGTAAATTTCACTGAAAACAATTTTATGTTATTATTTTAAATAGAGGAAAATTATGAATTTAACCATAATATGAACCTTTCTATCTTGTATGAGGGTTTCAACACTTACTTACAGCCAGGCAGATTCTGTTTGGTGCATTCAACCTCTGTTTAACCAGAGTGCAGAACACAGTTATTTTGGATTTTTAATATCTAAAAAAATTTACTCCAACCTATGTGCTTATGTAAAGCAGTAAAAATGTAAAATGTAAACAGAGGTGCACGGAGCATTTTAACATAGATAGCATGATCACAGTATGCGTGCAAAGCCCTTGCTCTCTGTTTTCTATCAAATCAAAGCTTAAAATACAGATAAAGATATACAGTCGTATACAAATGATTGAACACCCCCTTTCCAATTACATGTATTTCTGATTTTCTGAAGTTAAAGTTATTATATTCTCAGTTACAGTTACCTTTACAGTGAATACATTTAAACATGGCTTTGTTTAACACTTTATTGCACAGCGTTCAGCAACATGCAGCTCTTTTGCTGCTTTCGTTGTGGCTCCACAGCAGAATTAGATTTTTAGGTAAAAACAAAATAATCCTCCTTTACAGTAAAATAAAGCTTTACTGATCATTCAAACTGTCTTAAACACTAGCGTGAATGTAAAAATGCTAATTTAAGGTTGGCATGCAGACTGCTGGTCACCATAGCTCATAGCTAACAAAAAAACAAGGATGATTTAAGTTGAACAGCAATAATTTGGAGATGAATTGACTTTTTGCATTTATAATCACTCCAGCTGGTTTCCTTATACGTTTAATCTGCAAGAAACTGTCAAAAATTAAAAAGTTGCGAGGCTGAAGTCAGCTTGTCATTAGCCAGCTTTTCATTCAAATTGTCCCGTTTCACCTTAAATGGTGCAGCAGTTACATTCTGGGCTGGCACCTCAGGCACTATTTAAGGTGGAATTTGAACAAGAAGCTGGCAAATAAGCTTCATAAAAAGTCGAACGCTGAGAGACATTTTACAAGAAACTATTCCATGTTTGCTGAAATGTTTCCTGCTGGAGATGTGAGAAAAAGCAGCTATAGCTAAGCTAATGCTTAAAGCTGAGCAAAGTAAGTCTGTGTTGTTGTTTGTTATATTTCTTAGCCTATACTAGTACATTAGCGCATACAGAGACATATTTACAGCCACGATGGTAAAATTGACACAAAATGTTGTGGCTCCCAAGGTGGTTTGATTTTAGTTGAAGGACAAAATGGCTCTTCTTAATATTTGGGTTGCCGACCCCTGAGATACGGGAATGTGAAAATTTATGTAAGCGGTTCTGAACTGGAGTAAAGAACAATAAGAACAGACTGAATAAAAGAGTGGGATATAAAGACAGACCAGGAGTGTCCAGGTCTGATGATCTAACAGTTACTACCTTGAAGCGTTTAGTTCCAACTGTAATCTAGATCTAGTTCAGAGCCTCAGAGGAGCCTGAATAATGGAACCAGTTGAAACAGGGATGTGGATCACCAGGACTGGACTCGGTCTCCCCTGCAGTAGACGGAATGACTGAGAGAGGATTAGAGAAAGAAGCGGGATTTCTTGCTTAATCTTAAACAGTTACATATTTGGCATAAAAACTGAAGAAGCACAGTGTGTATGATCTCAAAGCACTGATGGATTAGTTTGGGTGGCTCAGAATTAGTACCAGGCTTTCTGGCTAAGTAAAGTACATATTTAAGAAATTTTAAAGTTACCACAGTGGAGAAGTGTTTGAAATGGTCAGAGGCCTAATACTACTCAGACTGCTGACCAACAATCTGACCAGCTTTTCTGCTCGTCCACAGGGCCTCTATATTTCAGTCCAAAGTGCAGAAAGCATGTCTACAGGCTCTACCACAATACCAGAGACTGCACCATTCCTGCATGTGAGTACTAGTGACTGCACAAACAGTACACATATCCATTAGAATGGGGTGGGAGATATGACGATATGATATTATCACAATATTAGCTGTACTTACACAACACTGACCAAAAGCAAGGTTCCTAAGTAGAGTTGCTGTTTAAGGTTTTGCCCCGTTGTTGGGAAATCACAGATTTGAATCTCAACCATACTGGAAGTTCAAGAAAGTGAAAGTGGTTCTGCTTAACTGAATTTAGTTTTGTGCAGTTGGTGAGAAACATGGCACTACTGGTGCACTGCGTCTTCTAGAGGTGTGCATGTGTATAAAATTGAACCCTGAACTCGACCCAACACATCCCACTCATTCATAGAGAGAGAGAAGAGAAAGAGAAGACAGACATGTTTAGAGAGCGAGAGAGAAGACAGACACGTTCTGAGAGAGAAGACAGACACGTTTAGAGAGCGAGAGAGAGATAGAGAGAGAGGACAGACATGTTCAGAGAGAGAGAGAGAAGACAGACACGTTTAGAGATAGAGAGAGAGAGAAGACAGACATGTTTAGAGAGAGAGAGACACATTCTGAGCGAGAGAGAAGACACATTCTGAGAGAGAGTGAAGACAGACATGTTCAACGAGAGAAGACAGACACATTCAGAGAGAGAGACAGAAAGAGAGAGAAAAGACAGACATGTTTAGGGAGAGAGAGAAGACAGACACGTTCGAGAGAGAGAGAGACAGAGAGAGAGAGAGAGAAGACAGACACATTCTGAGAGAGAGAGAAGACAGACATGTTCAGAGAGAGAGAGAGAGAGAGAGAGAGACATTCAGAGAGAGAGAGAGAGAGAGAGAGAGAGAGAGAGAAGACATGTTCAGAGAGAGAGAGAGAGAGAGAGAGAAGATAGACGTTCAGAGAGAGAGGGAAGACAGACACGTTCAGAGAGAGAGGGAAGACAGACATGTTCAGAGAGAGAGGGAAGACAGACATGTTCAGAGAGAGAGGCAAGACAGACATGTTCAGAGAGAGAGGGAAGACAGACATGTTCAGAGAGAGAGGCAAGACAGACGTTCAGAGAGAGGGAGAGAGAGAAGACAGGCACGTTCAGAGAGACAGAGAGAGAGAAGACAGGCACGGTCAGAGAGACAGTGAGAGAGAAAGAAGACAGGCATGTTCAGAGAGAGAGAGAGAAAGAAAGAAACAGAGGAAGAGAAAGAAAATGAAAGAGTGGCATATAAAGAGAGAGCAAGAGATAGAATGAAATGCAGAAGGGGAGAATGAGAGTAAAACAGTGTGAAAGAGACAGGAAGAAAAGAGAGAAAGTGTGAGTGTGCAAAATTTACAAGGGCACAATCCTGCAAAAAAATGAATCTACTAAACAGAAAGACCTGAGTTTGCTGTTGTATGTAGAAAAAATAGCCAGTATCAGGCCTGAAACCTGATATTTTGTCTGGCCCTGTCAGGCTCAGGTCCGGTAGCAGACCTATAATCTGTTCAGGCTCATCAAACATCAGAAAAATGACGTACTGAGATGCGTAATGCTTACATGACAATGTCCAAGTATTATGATATAGTTTGCTATATCGCCTACTCCGGCAGTGTTGCCTGCATACTCTCTCTATACCTCACACCACCAGGCCGATATCTGTCCCAGCGTTCCACTTCACACAGGTCAGATGTTGGAGTTGCATCTGTTCGCCAACCCTTTTTCAGGCCCACTTGCTAAGAAAAACTACAGCAAGTTCATTTCCACCACAACTAGTCATGCATCCTGCAGACTGACGATGCGAGAGATGTCTTGTATTTTTCCACTGTTTGTTTTCGTGGTATAAAGTGCAATATGCTTACTGTGCACTTTTTAAAATGTTTGTGCTGAAAGTGTAACTCCAGACCTTTAATTACAGAAAACAGATTTCTCCCGAGCTGAATGTCTGTTGTTTTATGCCTTTTTGTCTCTAGATTATAAAAGATGTGCGCGGCTTCTTACTCGACTGGCAGGGAGCCCGAGGTGCCTAGAAAGCTAACATCACCAGGTACTGCTTCACTACTGATTTGTTAAAAACACAGCCATTTACAATTACAGGGGAATTCCACAAAATTGTCAAAATTTCAGTATTATTAAATTGCTAATTGTAAACAAAGTCATTCATTTAATGTGAAATTCTGCTTTATAGAAAAGCAGAAGGTCCCTCACAGAAGGCTATTACATGAAATTGATATGTATATGCTGCCTTATGCCTGAGACATTGTTTTAGGATAGTAAAAAAATAGCGAAAGAATTTTTTTATTGCTGTTTTATTATTAGCATAAACTCAGAGGACACATGAAGGTTCACTGATGATTTTGGATAGTAAATAAAATGGCTATATTTGCATAGTAGAAAGCATAACCCCTGGTTCCTATCACCACCACTGTAAAACAATCTGAGTTGGTAAATGTATCTACACTCTTAAAAAAGATGGTTCTTTAAAGATTCTTTAGCAAAGAAAATGGTTTTACATAGGACCATGGACACTTAAAGAAGCATTTGCATGATTAAAGGGTTCTTTGCATGGTGAAAGCGTTCTTCAGATTGATGGGGAATTTGTTGTAAATGGTTCCATATGAAACCTTTTCGAAAGGGGTTCTATGTAGCACCAAAAAGTGTTCTTCCATTGCTACAAGCTTGACATCGTAACAATAGCGGAACCCCTTTTGGTGCGATATAGAACATGTTTCAAAAAGATTCTATATATAGAACCAACTACAACACATTCTCTACCAATCTGACCATGCAAAGAACACTTTGATCATGCAATGCTTCTTTGAGTGTTCATGGTCCTATGTAAACCATTTTCTTTACTAAAGAACACTTAAAAACCCACTTTTCTAGGTGTGTAGACAGGAGCATTTCACATCAAACCACTCTGAATGACTTTGTTTACACCTCAGCCTCAGAAAAGTCTTGGAATTCCCACTTTAAGAGTTCATTTCTTCTAGGGAGTAATACTGAATAATGACGATATAGTGTATAAATGAAAGTACTAATGGAAAGTGTTACAGTTTGGCAGAGCTGTTATAGATGCGACATGTCTGTCACAGCATTAGTAGAGAGCCTTGAAGTGGTTACAATGAAGCTGGCATGATGCAGTTTGCACTTTCCCTGCTTCAGTATACCTGACACAGCTAATGAAAGGTTTGATCATTAACTGATGAGTTAAACCAAGTGTTTCAGTAAAAAAATGCAATGAACAATGAAAAGTGCAATGAACAGGGACAGAACCAGAGCTCTGGCATACCTACAACTAAAGGCCTTCAGCTGAACAACAAATAGAGGTCAAAGGTCTTGCTATTTATTATATAAAGTACTTGTGTCTGGCTATTATTTCACTACCAGCAGGTTAGTTCAAATTGCAGACTTGTAATAGCACCAGACTAATAGACTTTTAAGCACTGGCTCTGTAAAATTATATAATTCTTGAACAGCATTACAGCTACAAGAAACAGTGAGAATCACAGAGTGAGAATTACAGAGTGAGAATTACAGAGTGGTCATGATACAGGACAGTGCATTACGATGGTTAGCTGCTAAGCTGCTACAGCAATGATCTATTGTAATAAAAAAGATATAATGGGGTCTGCTAATGCTGTTACACCAATAGGGCAATATGGCATCACGGTAAATTGCATCATAATGAGATGTAACGTAAAAGGGGAGATGTAAAAGGGGAATTTCATTGAATTTTCAAAATCTCTGTAAAACTCAATCATTGAGATGAAAACAAAGTCATTCAAAGTCATTCAGAGTGGTTTGACGTGAGACGGTTCATTGTAGAGAAGTCTGATTTTCTTTACAGTGGTGGTGATAGGAACCAGGTGTCCTGATGTCTACAGTGCAAATGCACTCAGAAAGGTTTTGGGGCAAAACTTTATCATAAAACAATGTCTCAAACATCAGGCAGCATATTCATAACCATTTCATGTAATAACTTCCTGTGAGGGAGCTTTTAGAGCATGTTTCAGGCTCCAGTCCTCGTGGGCCAAAACTCTGCAGACTTCAACACAATGCCTCATTAAACACACCTGATTCAGCTCATCAGCTAATTAGCAAGGCCTTCATGAACTGAATTCAGAGTGTTGATGAGGGTAAACACAGCACTTTGCCTTATAGATCAGCTGTCTGGTTCCTATCGCCGCCATTGTAAACTGTTCTGTCTTGGTAACTTGGTAATGGAGAGTTTCACACCAAACTACTCTGAAAACCTTTGTTTGCATTGTGATGATTAACTTATTATTGAACGACTTCTTTAAAGAACAACGAACAACTGGATCCTTAATGATTTTAAAGATTTAGATGGGTGATGATGCTGTGCTGAGCCTTAAAACATGGGATAAAAGAATTACACTCAGTTTTGATAAGATTTTTGCTGGTGCATTGTGTCAATTAAATATCATGACATGCATGGTGTATTGTTACACTATCTTGATGTTAAATTTCTGCCATATTGCCCATCCCCCCCATGTTACATGACTCTGTTTAGCTTTGAAATAGCACTTACAATATAGACTACAGAACTAGAAGAGCCCGAGCATTCTAGAGCATACGTACGTCTTTGCTGTGGTAAGAAGCGGTAAAACTTTCCGATCAAGATGAATAACAGGATTAGCTGCCACAGATGGTAGTTATTCACTGACTTCCACCTGCATCTCTTAACGTAGAAGCAGCATGCGTGCTTTGATTTAAGCAGGTACGGATGGAGCTGTTCTCTAGCGCCCTACAGAATCCACATATTCGGCACAGAGGGAGTCTCCTGTATCAAACCCCTGTTTTTTTCATGCCTCTTTGGACAAGAAAGAATTCTCACATGCGTCCAAGTACACACACATACATTTATGTACAGCCAACACAAAATTTCACTTCCTCTCTCCAGCAGGTTCAAGCCAAACCAGAGCGACCCGGAGGAGGAGAAAAAAAAAAAGTCAAGTGCCTTTTGGATATGAGTAGAGAATCCAAACCAACACTCAGCATTCCATCCAATCAGCAAAACATGTCCAAAACATGGGCTCTGCTGCTCCAGAGGACAGATGGACAAAGGAACAGAAAAGGGGAATTCATGGACACTGGTAGATGGGAACAGACAATGGATATAGGCCTGCATGTCCCCAGCTTGAATGTGTGAAGTAGAAAGGAGCTGTGTGGATATTAAGGACATTAAATATGCATTTAACTCATGTGGGCCTAAACAACTACCAGAAAAGGGATTGCCTTGACTTGTCCTTTGTCGTAATAAGATAATGACACATCTTCGTCATTTTGCTTTCTGTGACATACCTTGGTGGGGTTGTACTTCACATTGTGGCGAAGAAAAAGGTGTTTCAGTCATCGTCTCTTCTGCTTTCACCTCCGAAAGCCACCCTTAACTTATTTTTCTGCATGACACGCTTTCCATTTCGCCTTTGTGTTTACCAACAAGTGTCAGCAAAACAGGCACATGTGACAAAGTACCTGAGAATGTGTATGACTGTGGATTAGTAAATATAGTCCATATATTTTGATGTATGTATGTGTATAGAGGTGAAAAGCCAGAGGTCAATGTGTAAATACTGTACAAAAAAAACTAAACAAAAGGAGACATAAAATCCCTATAATGAGTATATGCTGTATGTGTCTGATATATCAATGAAGTATAGGGATGCATATATTTAAAAGAAAGTATATTTAAATAAATTATATGATTGTTACATGTGGTGGGCCTGAATCATTTTTGGGAAGATCAACCTTGATCTCCACATCAGCATGTCATTTGTTTACAAGAGGAGTAAAAGGAATCCACCAGTTATTTTTTCACCTATTCTCTATTTGCCACTTCTGTCACATACGGTTGATTACTAGGAACAATCATTTTGATATGTTTACTTATACTTAGTAAACAGTGCTGTGCATAAGGCCATTTAAGGGAACCCTGACTGGTAAGACATATGAGCCTCAATATGTTGTCTAGTACAGTTGTAATATGTTGTATAAACTGAGCAAAATGCTTTATTTTTGTTGCGACATCAAATGGTTGCTCTCTCTCTTGTCCACTGTGCAAGGAACAGTGAGCTCATTGAATTCACATCATTCAGCCTTTCCAATTTTAGCTAGAGCGTGACACCACAGAGAAAAATATTCTTTTTTCTTTAGAATTGACTCCACTGGAACCACATGGCACCATCCCAGTACAACAACGTTGAACCACGACTAGAGGGATTTAGCCTATTTGCCATGTTAATATTATAATAAACATTTCCATTTGGTGCATACATCATATTTGAATCGTACTAGAGTAGTAAGTCTTAACAGGTCCTTTAATATTCTGATGTTATCTGTGATAACACATGACCTCAAGTGTTCTATTTCATTCATACAACAGTTCTAAAAAAACAAATAAAAAAGTAAAGCAAAGAAGCCCAGAATTTGATCAAATGTGGCTTAATAGTGGCAATTCTTTATGCCAAAAAGTACCATTTTACATTGCGGGTAGAGCCATAAAACCATCGCAATATCAGGTTCAGCTCAGCTTTTACAATACTTTGCCGGACAAACTGCAATGTTGGTTTGTTCCAGTCAGTCTGTGAATCATTTCACAGCCCACCTTGTTTGCTCAGGTGTTTGTTTCGACTCCATTTTGTTTAGTTGATCCGTTACAGCTGCCGAACGAAAAGCTCGCTTAAGATTAGGGCTGTCCCAATCATCAAATACATAATTGTTATTAACATTTTGTCTTTTCTTATTCATTGTTTGCAGCTATTAAAATACAAGCCTAAAGTGGCCAGAATTGGCTGATTAGTTACCTTACACATGGGTTACATGTTTTATTAAATGTGTCTATTATTCCTTTAGCAACCAGTGCTCGGCGGAATGATGTTCTGTTGTTTAAAAAAAATGTGCTGTTATTACAAATTACAAATAAGAACACAGCTAGAACGCTTCTCAATTAATCAGACTGTATCACTGGAACTAACTGTTATGTAAAAACAAACAATACACTGTGATTTCTTTTTTGTCTGTTAGCTCAGCCGTTTAAACTCTCCTTAAAAAAGTCCAGTATTTACTGCTATCATCCAATACGGAGTTTCTCCAATCAATCCCTCATTAAGTTAAACCATGTGCTGCTGACAGAACTGAACAATCCATGCTATGATTTTACTAAAAAATAACACATTCTTGATAGCTTTTTAACTGTACTTATGCTCATTTTAATATTACCAGTGTTTTTAATGGCAAAAATAAACTAAGCTGAGCAGGGGCGTCACTAGGGATTTATGGATTGGGAGGTTAAGTCTTTACCAAGGGAGTCTGGGAGCATGCTACCCCATGTTTTTAATGGCCCCAAAATGTCTGTTCATCACAAACTTTTTAGTAGCAACAGATGGGAAATTTATCAAAAATGGCCATTTGGTCAAGTTGGCGCACAGTAGATCTGATTTTTCATAGTGTATTAAACACTGATCTTTATAACTTCAATACTACATGTGTCCACCTACACAGATCACAGATCACAGATCAAAGAAAGGTATTAAAAACCAAGCAGTGCTATCTCTCCCCTCTCTTAGATAAGCTGCAGCTCCTAAATATGTCATTCAAATACACAGATTAAGTTTGTATAATCTGTGTAAGTTTCTGCAACAAGACAAAGTGTGATTCTGTTCTGTAGTTATACTTACATGTTAATCACTCTTAAAATGTGGCTCTTCAAAGGGTTTTAGTTAAAACAATGGTTCCATGTAGAATCTTGAACACTAAAACAAAACAATGTCAAGCTATATAGAACCATTGTCTTTACTAAAGAACCCTTGAAGAACCATCGTTTTAAAGGGTGTAGGTGACATGATCATAATCTGCATGTGCAAAAGTTTTTTGTTAATAAATATATTGTATGGGTATAACAGGTCAACAAAATCAGTATTATGTTTAACTAAAAGCTTAAAAAACACTTGCTTTCTTTTTGGTCTCTAACCTTTATCAGACCTGCTTCTTCAGCTCTGTCAGTCTTCTTCACTTTCTTTCTCTCCCTCTTCTCGCCTGTGTTTAGTATGTTTTTATTAAACTAAGATTTACAGGAGCTCAAGGATCAATGAGTTCATTTTTTTGTTTGACTGGCCTTCTACAGAGCTGACACTTCTTAATGACCATCTACAGATTGAGGAATGCAGACATATAAAACTGCATTACAAGCAACACCTGTATTAGCAATAGCAATTATCAGTACTATATATAGTAATAACAATATCTAGCTAATACAGTTGTGAATGTTTAGAAATCTTAAGTAGAAACATGAACACAAATAATCTGTGAAGTTTCTTCAATTTCTTGAAGTCGTTGGCTCGTCTGCTGGCCATCATTTGTTCTTTATGGCCCATCCCCTTTCCTTTACCTCACATGAACTCAAAGTTAGCTAGCTAGCTAACAAGCAACTGGCTAAAAACTTGATATAGCCAGCTATACTGACCCCAATTTACACAAATCTACACCGTTAAAAAAGATGGTTCTTCAAGGGTTCTTTAGTAAAGATGACGGTTCAATATAGAACCATGAACACTCAAAGAACCCTCTGATTAAAGGGTTCTTTGCATCGTCAGTGTTCTTCAGACTGATGGAGTGTTTTATGTGGTTCTATATAGAGCCCTTTTAAAAAAGAGGTCTATATAGCATCGAAAATTGTCCTTCCATTGTTACAAGCTTGACATTGCAACAACAGCAGAACTCTTTTTAGAACTATTGTAGTAACATCTACACACTTAAAAAACATGATTCTTCAATGGTTCTTTAGTAAAGAAAACAGTTCTATATAGAACCATGAACACTCAAAGAACCCTTTGCATGATTAAAGGGTTCTTTGCACTGTGAAAGTGTTCTTTAGATTGATGGAGAATGGTTTATATGGTTCTATATAGAACCTTTTTGAAAATGGTTCTTTATAGCACCAAAAATTATTCTTCTATTGCTTCAAGCTTGACATCAGCAACAGCAGAACCCTTTTCAAAAAGGATCCATATAAAACAATCTACAGCACATTCTCCATTAATCTGAAGAACCATTTCATCATGCAAAAGGTTCTTTGAGTGTTCATGGTTCTATATCGAATCATTTCCTTTACTAAAGAACCCTTGAGGAACCATCTTTTCTTTAAGAGTGTATATATTAGGTAGATCCCTTCACTCTGTAACTACTTACTGATTCCAACTGTATATTGTGTATTTTGAATAAGGTCTAATTTTTATTTTAGCACACTTTTAGCTAAAATCCTGTCATAACTTAAGCGGTTGCTAAATGACATTACTTTGCAGAGTGAGTAGCACCAGGTCTGATATGATTAGTTTACAACTTACGAGGTCTGATATGATTGGTTGAGCCTGTATTACACTTTTCCCAAATGTTAAACGGCAGAAGACGGTTATGTTAGAAAATCTCTGGTAGCTCAGCTGAGGCAGTGGTGGAGTAGAGCAGCAGCAGCAGCACCTCCCCCCAGGTCGTGACCTGCTATCACAGTATATTGTGAATTTGGAGATATGATGGCTCAGGTGAATAATGAAGAATAAATGAATACTGTCGATTATTTGAACTAATAATGTACATTCATTTTGGGGGCTGAATAATATCCTGGGTGGGGGGTGGGTGGGGCTAAAGCCCCCCTAAAACTGGCCTAATGATGCCCCTGATGCTAAGAATGTTTTAAGCAATTTTGGCTGGTCAAGACTTTGGAACAGTACTGTAAAAAAAGAAAACCTGCTACAACCCCATTGCCTACTATTAGACGTAGGGATAGAAGACCAGGGGTTTTCTGTCTTGCATCAAAACTACTGTCTGTGCTAATCGACTATGAGCTACAGATGCAGCAGATAAGAGATCAGGGTGAAAAACGCTGGAGTATTTATTACCTTAAGTGCAGGACATAAACCATGTGTTTTCTCAGAAAATGTTAAGGTGCCTAACATTGATTCATTGCTATCTTCTGGCAGTGCAGGCTAATATTAAATTATCACAGATGGCAAGAACAAAGAAAAGAACCGAGCAGAAGAGATAGCACAAAAGTGAAAGAGAAAAGAGTGCAGGAGATGAAAGAAGAGAAGGAATTAAGTCCAGTGCCATCCCTCCTTCCTCTTTTCCAGTTCAAATCTGATTTCTACCAGTTCCTGCCCATCCTCTTTCAAATTAAAAGCAACAGCTCAACCACAGTCGTGTGCGCACCGGAAATGTGAACAATCAGCGTTTGTTATTATGGGGACGAATCCATAACAGGAATTGAAGCGGTTTTGGAAAGGGAGGAAAGGCAGGGCCCGAGAACAAGAGAGTTTAATTTAGTCTAAAGTGCATAACTGTCAGAACATGGTATTAATCAAACGGGTTCCAACAGCAATTAAAGTGAGAGACAGTTTGCAGCAATACAAAACAAGAGCAAATGTTGGGACTTATTTTCTGTCTCTGATTTATTGGTTGATTTTTATTGACTTCTTTGTAGGTTTTGTTCTCTTAATGGGGAATTTCACCACATTTTCAAAATTTCTGCATAATGTGACTCTTGAGATGTAAACAAAGAATAACTTGCATATTCAGATTTTACAGCAGAGGTGAAAAGAACCAGGGGTCACAATGTCTAAATCACAAATATAGGCAATTTATTAACTCTCCAAAACCATCAGCACGCTTGCACGTCTTCTGAGTTTTTATATGTAATGTTAAAGATGGTAAAATTGTGGTGAATCTGAAAGGACAAGTTTCCTTTTACATGAATGGATTTTTAAAAATACGCTTTAGGTCGAAATCTTATCTCAAAACAATCATAAAACGACGTCTCAGGCAACATATTCATAACCAAGACTTTAAGAAGCATTAGGTGCTCCAGATGTCTGGTTCCTTTCACCACCATTGTGAACAATTCTGACTGAAAGTTTCTCTGAATTACGTTTTTGTATCTTCATAATTAAATTATGCAGAATTTTTAAAAATTGGTAGAATTCCCCTTTGAGTTCAACAGAGGCACAGGTCAGGATACATCACTATCGATATCAGAATGCTAGAATAAGAGCACAAACGACGTGGAACTAACTTATGTCATATCTCTCATTTATTGGTTGATTTTTCTGACTTTTTTTTGTTTTTATTCTTTTCAAGAGGAATTCCACAACATATTCAAAATTCTGCATACTTCTATCACAGCCTACTCTTGATTTGAGAGGCGTCATTCAAAATGCATTACAGATGACTTTCAACTTTTTGTCTTTACACATACAAGAAATACTAATGCTATATTATGATTAATACCACCTTTATTACAGAATAAAAAATGTGTTTTCCATTACACATCAGCTGTCATTCTTTTCAAAAACATGTATTTAAAATTCCTGCATTCCTGGTGATTCCTGGTGATGGGAACTAGGGTCATGACGTCTACAACAGAAATATAACCATTTTACTTACTCTCTATTTTACTGAAATGCTAAAAATCTGGAAAAAAAAACCTGTCTCAGAACTATTGAAAAACAATGTCCCAGGTATTAGGCAGCGTATCTATAACCGTTTCCTGTAATACCTTTCTGCGAGGAAGGTGTAAGGGGTATTAAAAGCTTCAGATGTCTAGTTCCGATCACCACCATTCTGAATGACTTTGTTTACATCTTAACAATTACACAGATATTTTGGTGGAATTCCCCTTTAAACTTCAACAGAGGGAAAGATTAGTTCAGGATGTAAATAGCAGATTGTTAGAATAAGTGCTAATATGATGTAGAACAACAATTAAAACGTATGATCTCTCACAAAGAGTAAACAAAGATTATTTATATCATTTTTAATTGATGTTTATTATTTTTATTTCCTTCAGTGGAAGAGGTCAGCATGTCAACAGCAGAATTTTAGACTATGCACTTAAATGACAGAACTATAGTTTCTCTCACAATTTAGACGTAGGATCTCTCACACAGCAGACTTGTGTTATGTGTATACTGATGACATGTTGCTTATACTGCAATACTTGGACTCCATGTGATGGACACTGTTGTGTGGCTGCCTGTGTATACTAGGAGTGCGAAGAGTGTTAGGAGTTTTTCTCCAGGAAGACTCTGCAGCATCTGACGCACTGTTCATACACTGTCTCGAAGTCCTTATCGCTCCCCTGTAAGAGAAAAAGAAAAAAAATTCCATTTGAAAATGCGGTCCCACTCTGCGCTTGCTTACAGATGTGAAGTGCATGCCTTACACAGTGTCTTCATGCTCAGATTCAAATTAAAGTGGTCCATCCTGAATACGACTGAACTTGCAAACAGATCCATTATGTTATTCCTGGAAAGCTTGTGCTGTAAGAGACAACGATTTACACTCTCAAATCAGGACCATGTGGGTAATGCTGGGAGGACTGCAGCTGAGATTTCCTTTTCACTGGCCTACGGTGGATGGAAGTTCCAGTAGAGTGCGGCTGCTGTCAGTCACAGAGACTGGACACTGTGTTTGTGGGGTTACAGTGGGCACACGAAGAGAATAATCACTGCGCTTACTCTCTTGGAGGCGATTTCTAAGTTTGTTTGTTGTATCACAGCCAAGTGGCAGTCAGCATCTCTGCAAGAAAAACTAAAACAGAGGATGAGACAAGTCAAACGAGTGACTTGAGTACTGCCTTCACTGCAAAAGATGAGGGCGGACATGATTACGCGAACTCAATCTGCATAGCAACTACATTTATAGTACTGTGGAAAAGTCAGAGACCACCCTTCATTTATTTAATTTCCAGTGAAAACAGCCATCAAAAGAAAATAAGTGACAAAACATGACTTTCCAAAACTGGGCTTTAAAAAACAAAAGATACAGGGAAAATGGGACTCCTAACAACCACCTACAAGACCTGGCAGACCACCAAAACTGCCCCCTTTAGATAAGCAGCACTTAAAGCTTTCATCTTTGAGAGAGAGGAGAAAATCAAGCTGCTTCAGATCTGAAAACATCCACAGGTGTTTCTGTGCATCCTTCCACAGTGAGAAGACAACTCAGCGCTATGGGTCTGAAAGGATGTGTAGCTGTCAAGAAGCCTTACTGAGAAAAGGAAATAGACAAAGAAGCTGCTGGTGTTCTCAGAACATTGGAGTGATGACCCCAGAGTCCAGACCCCAACATCACCCTTAAATGTGTTTGGGATTACTGGGATCATGAGAAGCAGAAAACGCTAAATCAACTTCTAAGACTAATTTTGGTGGAATGGAAAAATATCCCTGCAGATTTCAGCAAGTCTTCTGAAAAGAACAGCAGCTGTAATGAAGGAAATGTGTGGACAAACTAAATACTGAAAAATTTTGACATCTGAGGCTTTCATGTAATTTTCTGTTAGGCAGGTGCTTTCTGATCTCTCTAAAAAAATCTATAACTTGTACTTATCTGTTGTCTGGAAATTAAAATAAATGAAGGGTGATTGCACAATACTTTTTTTTGATAAAGTCTTTCTCAAGGCCTTGTTTACCTTGTTTTTTTTAAGCATTTTAATGTATGGTTTGACATTGTTCAGATAATGATTTTTATTGTTTGGCCCTCTTTTAAGACTCTTTATTAACTGTCTAAATAACTGGTTTATTATTTCAATGCTTACATCATTTACTGGAATAGTAATATAATTCAAAGTGACATTGATAGAGCAATAAACCTTTAAAACTGTCCTTTTCAAATTGACTTTAGATCCACAAACATGTCACACAGCCCTTAAATCAGCTCTTAAAATCAGCAGGAAGCATGAAATAAGTGTGTTTACCCCAGATATTTTCAGAGCAGTTTAACAACTTAATGCTTCGCTTATGGCAAATTAACCAAAACACTGTGAATGTAGTGGTGTACTTCTGTTCCAAAAGCAGCATACACACAGACCCAATAAGAAACACTGAGCATACTTTGCCAGAAAGTTTAATGTAAATGACCACAACAACTGCAGACCTTGCTTGGAAGTAAAAGTAGCACTGTAGACCTTACACAGCTCCTCCAAGCCAAATATAAGTATAACTGATGTTCATTGCTGGCTCTTCTTTATGATGAGTGGAAACTGCTCTTATAGCAAAGATTACATTCCTTTTGGAAACTGGCTTGAACATCTTAGAAGAAAATCTCTCTCTCCATTGTGAACAGGACCTCCAGTCTCTCCAAACATTAAATATCTTATATAATTGAAAAATTATCTTGATTATTCATATAATGTATAATCTCTGTCTTGTGCAATTAAGTCAATATAATGTTTTGTAATACGCGCTCATAGAACATTTACAGGAAGTTTAGAAAATCAGTTTCCAAATGCACTCAACTCAAGTTTAGCTCCAATTCCGGGTGAGAATAAATGTGTGTTTTGAAACAGAAACACAACGTAAATACTTATTTTTCTGAATTTCTGACTTGTTTTGAAATAATTCTTATTAATAATTCTTAATAATTCTTATTTTCTCCAAATAATCTTTGTAACATTTGCATACTTTGAAGGAAATAAGTACCTTTGTTCAGTTGCGTCTATTATTATTGCTTTTTTAAAAAAAAAAAACTACTAAATATTTAGTTGATTATTATGATTAATTGATTACTTAATGTAAAAGCTGTACTTTTGTTCATTTGCATGGAAGTTCTTAGTAGATAAGCTGCAAATTTGACTGCCCCACTCACTACCAGTGCAATGAGTCAGTAGACTGTTGGTAATTAGCGCCTCTCTTAATAAATTTGCCCCAAAACAGAAATCTATGTATGTCTTGCCAACTCAAAGCTAAAGGATGACAAACTCACTGATAGTCAACATCACCATATCTGTCTATAAAACTAATAAACTAATTAATTAAATGGTGATATTTTTTCTCTTGCCATGTAAACAGCAAAATAATGCTGTTATGTAATTGACTATACTAATTACTTTTAATACATAATTTATGTACATTATACATAATTGATGTTCTTAATGACATTATATGTTTGAGATGTAATCTTAATGCCTCAGTTCTGATCTGTGTATTAGACCAAATTCATTCACTATGTACAGCAGATGCAGAATATTTTTAGCCTCTACAACTTGCACAAATTTGTTCTCATTCTCTTACTAATTTAAGCACAGAAAAGACACACAAGCTGAAGCCAAACATGACATCACTGTCACAGCACAGCTAATTAAAAAACCCCACACTTAGCAAGTTTGCATGAGTGTTCTGTGTCCTCCTGAGCTATTTCATGCTCTTTCAGCAGGTCTTTCATCAGCTATGTTTCTAATGGAATGTGTCTTAACCAACCTGCCACATCTTGGCAATAATTCACCTTTTCCCTCATAAATCTATTTAAGCTTGTCCAAGTTCCTTTCCTGAATAACCTTCAGGGCACGTAGGAGATCCGTTGTTGGATTAAGAGTGCTGAATAAGGTCATTCCATGACCTTTAGCTTCCGCTCCCTAGCTTGTTCCCATTGGGAGAAAGATCCCCACAGCGCACTGCTGCTACACTGGTGATTACAGCTGGGCGTCAGGGTTGGGCGGTATTTACCTGTTTCATACCTTTGCATTCATACCTTTGTGTCCACATATTACCATGGTATATGGTATTACTCTTGTACAGGGATAACGTAAGAGGCATAAAGGTATTTATGACGCTTTTTGGTCTCTTTCTGCAGGAAAATACTGAAAAAGTTAGGTTTGCTTAAATAGTCACCAAATAAGTGAACCAAGTCCACAGGTTAACTTTATTAATGTAAACTTAAATACCACCTTTACCATGATTTTGCAATACATTTGTAGTGTAGTGTGTGAAGTGCACTGAAGTTGGTGGTACTGGGGTCTTTCCTAAATGTTTCACTTCACTACATTTGAGCTACATGTACTGTCTACATTTACCATCAACAAGGACTATTGCCTACCAATGTCAAAGCTATTTGCCGCGCATCCAGAGGATTGCTTCTTTTGTTTGTTGCCATAAAGGCGAGTTTGTGTAAAACGAGTGGGAATCAAAAGACCTTAGGTGCATCATTTTGAATGTAAGTGGTTAATCATCACTCCTTTCAGGATAATTATTGCTAGACGTCACATATCTTTTGTACTCTGTGGCACAAAATGTGCAGAAAAATGGCAAAAACAAAAGTCTGACGCTTCTGAATTCTAGGCTGTGAGAACAAAAGATGCAAAAATGTGATTTCAGGTAGTGGCAGAACTGAATAATACTGTAGAAGAGCCACATCACACTGTGATTATAGTTTGTGGTTGTTTTATACCAACGTGTCCTCAGCGCAATCATGGACTTAATTTTCAGTATTATTTTTAGATTTTTTCTCTTTTAGATATTTGGAAAATACAGAGATACTGAAGTTTATCAACACTGCCCAGCACTCACACAGAGATATTTCTCTCTGTCCACTCAACTCGCACACAGATATTTCTATGCTGAGCAGATGTACCATATATCATTTGTTAATCATTTCCACAATTTTTGACCTGGGACACTTCACCGCGGTAGAGGAGTGGAGTTTTACAAGGCTGCAGCCCAGGGCCTTTGCATTGCAACTGCAGAGTTTGATGAGGATGCAAGACAGTGACTTTGCACACTGACAGTGGTGTTTGAAAAGCTTGCGCATCGGGGGCCTTGCAAGGTGATAGCGGAGTTTGACCAAGTCACAAACTGGGGACTTTGTATCATGACTGGAGTTCAACTAGTCCATGAGTTGTGGACTTTAACCTATGACAGCGGAGTCCGAAGAGGCTGGAAAATGGGGACTCTGCACACTGAAGATGGAGTTTGATGAGGCTGCGAGTTGGGGACCTTGCAATATGGCAGCAGAAATTGATGAGATTGTGTGCTCTGGTGAACTGTGTGTGTTTGTATGTGTAGATGTGTTGCTTTCTGTTCTTAATATTATGTTTAGATGATTTTAAAGTTTGCATTAATAAAGCCAATGAACATCCAGAGCAGAGTTTAACTTGGCTGAGAGCTGGGGACCATGCACTATGACAGCCAAGTTTGTACAGGCCACAAGCTGGGTCACTATTTTTCTCCATGCCAGCCGTGGAACTGTGTATGTGCACTTGTTTGTGTGACTGTTTTGTTTGCTTTTGATTAGTGATTATAAAACATCCTTGGATTTCAGACAGCTGCTATATAAATTATGTTTTTTTTTAAAGATTATTTTAAAATCTCCATTAATAAGTGCTGCCACTGTAGAATACCCTACAAACCTTATACAGTTTTTTTCTGATTGGACTGTATTCTAAATATTAACCAGAACAGAAAACACTATTTTGAAAAATAACCTGAAACAGAGAGCAAATGTCACACATTGCAGTTAGCAAGTTTTTGTTATCTATCAATATTGCTAAACGGTGTTGTGCGACACCAATATCGGTGTAGACTAGAATACATGTGCGTACAGGACTGCAAGAAAAGCCCTCACCTCTCCAGTCATGTACAATGTTTGTGTGCTCAGAAGGTTGTGTGCTTGCCGCGACACACCCAGTTAGTCTTTATTTATGACGCCTAAACTCTATTTCAGCATTAATAGTACATTTCCCCTGGCAGGAATACACAACCCACACATCTATCAACTACAAAAACACACCAAACTGTGCTTGAACAAGAGCATAAAAGCAGGAAAACATCCAGCCACACACACGCTCCATCCCCAACAAACTCCATCAGTGTCAGAACAAACCACACACACAGACTGGTTTCCTTTCATTTATACAGGATCTTTCGCCTACATCAACAGTTACAGATCATTTTATCGAATTAGTTCAAAGTCAGAGCTCAAAACACATTTCAGAATTTTTTTTAGCTTGACTTGGACTTTAGATTAAAATGATTTTGCTTTGAGTGACTCCATAGTTTAAATATGCTTATTTTATTAAAATAAATGTTTGTCATTATCAAAACAATCATAAAGCTACTGAGATTTTACCAAATGACAAGTTTAGCTAATTTTTAGCAGAACTCAAAAAAGCCAGCCAGTATATGACTAGTAAACACATCTTTGAGCAGGTATACACACATCAAATCATAATATTTTTCATTAAAACACAAAAAGTTTACTTAATTGCAGAAAGTATGTGTTTAGGTAGTGACAATTCATGTTACACACTGATTTAAGACTTTGGGACAGTAAGTTTAAAACAATGGGACCTAACTACTCACCATGTGGCCATGAGAGACAAGGATGCAGTCTCACTTCCTGCTCTAAAATGCAGGGGTGTGGCTAGAATAAAGCTCCGCCTATGGACTAAAATACTGTGATTCAGTAGTGACATGAAAACACAGGACAGCATTTATTTTATAAAAAGATTTATATTTCTAAACCTCAGATAAGAAAATTAAACTCATGATAAATCTAAATGTTTCAACTTCACAAAGAAATATAAAAGTTTAAAAAGTATTATTTTCACAAGTTGAAATTTAGGGGTTAGGATTTGGAACAGCCACCTTCCAATAAAAAAGTACCCTATAAATTATGATTTCGTATGCATTTAGTGTAGAACTACCTCTATTAATGTCGTGGGTTTAAACAGATAACCTAATCCTTATCTAAGGTTTGAATAGTTAATTCCGCCATTTATTTATTACTGTACTGTGAGACTGCAGTATCTAAGGTATCTAATATATGTGTATCAGAGTCAGGTGTAGCTAGCTACGTGTCATATTTCACAAATTACAAAGTTTTGTCTTTTTTTTTCAAAAACCATGGCAGAGACATATTCTGTTTACATATGCAACGTTTAAAGAAAATGTGAGCCTTCATATGTTACCAAAGGATCTGAAAATAAATTTTCCTGAACGGGAAACAGGTGGACCATGCAAGCAGCATTAGAGTCAAAGATTATTCCATCAACAGCATAAGGATTTTTTGTGATGTGGTACAGTGTTACAGAGTTTAGCTGTTGTGAGGTGGTCATAGTGCAATACTCAATTTACGCAGTGTGCATAAATTGAGTATTTTACAACAGCTTCAAACTCAGCCAAGCAGATTTTAGGACCTGTGCTGCCCGTTTAACAATGTTTTAAAATCTAAAACGGCCTCTGACATTTGCACAGTACTGTAGTTCTTTAATGGTTCATAAACCTCTTTTTGGTATAACATAGAATCTTTTTTGTTAAGAGTGTACAGGGACCACACAAAGCCCCTAGTGCTTGCTTTCCCGCTTTCTGGGCTGAGCTGGACAGATTATATGATTTATTATGAGTTATTATCGCAGTGCATTAAACCAGACAAGCAGCTTGCCTGAAACCGTCACCACATTCCTGAAAAGTTTCTCTCTCTTCTGTCCACAATCAACAACTCGTTCACTACACACAGACACACACTGACACAGACAAACACACACAAAACCACTTTTACTCCTGCAATCACTGGCCCTGCCTCAATAGTACAGAATGTGTTGACATTTATTTTGAGGCATTAAAATGTCCAATAAAAACATCCAAAAGACACAGTGGGACATGACCATGAGGCCCTGAGGGACAATATTCTGAAGGTTCGCTCATTACAAACTGAAGAGGGAATTTAGGGCCACCAGAACATAAGGATTCTTGCGGTACAGTGAGTCAGCTTTTCTGTAACTAATACATCTTACACTCAGATGACCTTCAGCAGTGATGATCTCAGCTTTTACATGAAAGTTAATGAAGATTCTGGGGAACACCTAAACAGCTCTCAAGAGAAATGTTATAATGCTTTTAGTCCAGTACTTCCAAAAAGCGCAGTCTGGAATGGAGCCACAAGCAGCTCTTCAAAAGCTCACCGTAATTCGGAGCGAAGGATTATGATTAATATCTGGAGGAACAGCATTAGAGCAGCAGGGAAAAGAGCATAAGCCCTGAGGCCCTGAAGCTTTTCATCACTTATAGCAGGGATCACAAATTACTGTGAGACAGCTTCATACAGCCTTCCACATATTTACAATTTATTTTTGAACGATTTATTCTTCAAATAATGTATTCTCTCCCCCCCTCCCCATTTTCTGTGGCTAAATGTTTACATCTGATGGGTAGATTTGCTTTACCCAGCAGATATTGTGGTTGGTTACCCAACAAGATACATAAAATCAGCTTATGATGATGCTTACAGTACAAAGAGTGTTGCATGGAAACATTCAAATGAAAACCTGACACAGCATAAATGCTGTGCAGACATGACTAATTTAGCTACTTGCTATTATAACGACTTGCATTGACTTTAATTTAATTTAGACCGATATTTACTTAATTCTGCCTTTGTGGATTCATTCTGGTTCTGACAGAGCAGTAGAGCGGTGTGTGTCAAAATTAAGAAATGAATGGAAATTTCAAACACATCTATTGAGAATGCAGATTTAACCACTTTGCCAACACTTTACTCATAATAACTTCACTAGAATTCAGCAGGATCGATGAAACAAACACAATAAGAGTCCCATAAAACCCTACTGGTTAATGTAGGTTTACTTGATTTAGAGTTCCTACTTTTATTACTAAAAATAACAATATGCAGTAGTAGTAGTAATGTAAATACGTAGTGTTTAATAAATCTTTCAATTGTAGTAGAAATTGTAGCTTGTGGTGACAGAAGAATTGCTGATAAACACTGACTAGGACGTGCTTAAATTGCTGTTATCAGAAGAAAACTTTGCATCTCCAAAATGATAACTTGACTGGAGAAGGAAAAAACCTTCTTTACTTTTAATGCAAGTCAATGGAACCAGACCAAAACCAAAATACTTCTTGGCATCACATAGAAATCGCTATTTGCATTCCTTTCAAATTTAATATAAAGTTTTAACAATAACAATAACAATTTGGGTGAACAGTAGAATCTTTGAAATATTTATACGAATTTCAGAATTTCTTAATATTTGGTGGTGTGTCCAACTTTTGCCTAAAAGGCAGCCTGCACTTGAGCTGACGCAAACTCCACAAGCTTGTGCAAAAGCCTCAGATGAGCAGATCAAATCCTCTTGAGAGTCGAGTTCAGTGGAAAGAACAAGACTAAAAAAATCTGACCTGTACAAAAGCACTATGAAACAAATCTGCACACTTTAACAGACATCTAGAAATACAATTTTGAATATTTCTACTTTGACTATTTTTCATTTGTCAAAATTCTTTTTGTTGTTAATTTTCAGATTTTTAATGTGTTCTCAGACTTTTGGACCCAGGTGTACATGGTAGGTGGAAAAGGCAGCTGAATGGAGTGAAGCTGTGAGTGACAGAGTAAAGGAGAGGGAGAGTAAGAGTTTAAGAGAAAGTGTGCTGTGTTTAGGTGTACAGACTTACATAGTAGGGGTCTTGAATAATCAGCTGTTTCTCAGGATCATATGAGCCGAGCAGCTCTATCTTGGCTTTACAGCTCTTTACGGAATTTGCTGTCCTTTTGAGATCCCTGCAAGAAAACATAAGCCACTCAATTAAACAGCATGCTTAAACAAGAGAAAGGCGCTATATGAATTATATAAAAATTACTTTTGCTATTATTATTAGTAATAGTGATATTATTAGTAGCATTATGATTATTAGTGTTCTATAGATTTGCAAAGCAAGGAAGTCCTGCAAATTGTTTCAAATATACATTTTTCATATTTGATATTTCTTCTGCCAAGAAAGTAAGTAAGCGGTGAAAAAGCAGTTCCAGCAGCTTAGAGTAAGATGATCAATGACATCACTTAGTGAAAGGTGGTCAGCGGAATAATACGGTGTAAAAAACGCTTTTCAACCAGTGTTTGCTGAGGGGTTTCAGCACCACCAGATTTCAGGAGTGCAGTTTTATTTTCATAAAAACTGAACTTTTACTTCCATATTGTCACAATCTGCAGGAGTCCTGCACTGTTTAAGATAATGTTGCATTTTCCTTACAGCGAGCTGAATCACTTATCTCGCCAACTGATGACTGCTTTGGTGGTGCGTTGCTAAAACCCTTTTTTAGAGGCTTAATATTGTAAAAAAAAAAAATTATAAATAAATAAAAAAAAATAACAACTAATGTTTAAATGCATACATTTTTGTGGTATTTCTTCTGCTTGGTTTGCCTTTGACTGCTGAATCTCAGCATTTTAGTGACACAATCAGTTACAGTGTCATATATAAACAATCTGACTGGTTGCCACACTCCTCATCTGCAAAAGGTCATCTACAAGGAGGAGAGAGCAGTGGTGTGCATCAGGGGTTTGATGTGTCATTTATGTGTGTATAGTGTTCTTTTGCTAGATTATTTTTGTATGATGTCACTGTATATGTCACATTTATGCTGTTTAAAATGTAGGCACCCCCAACTCCAAATGCATTCCCAGGTCCCTGGAACAAACCGTGGTACAACACAAGATAAACAACATATCAGAGGTAGGAACCACAGCTGTTTCTGCCTAACAATGCTTGCACACTGACCAATGCCTGCTAAAGGTAGAGTGGAGCTGGACAGCAGGAAAGTCCCTGTTGTTATCAGTTCGCTCTGTAGTAGACCTAGTTACTGTCACAAGATGGACGACGGGTGGAGTACGCACTTGAGACAAGTTCATGTAACCAATAAATTATTTACTTGTGTATTTGTTATTTGAAAAAGTATTGACATCACAGCTGACCAGTGCTCAAAAAAGTTCCTTTGGGAGAAGTGCTCCTGGATGAAAAAGAGTTAAAGATTAGCAGAAGAGGAACGAAGGAGAAAGCCTCATCTACAGATCGAAGGCCAGGAATCTAAAGAACTCGTTAAGCTGCTTAAGCAGGAGCGGATCTATGAGGAACATGTGATTCTGACATTATCCCCACCAAAGTGCCCCATTACTGAGGAAAAAACTCTGCCTGTCTCTCTTGGCCATGAAAGCTCTCACACAATGCTATAGGTATGTGCTGACCTTGCCTGTGGGCCAATGGGGAGGCACAGGTGTGTGTGAGTCAATGGGAACAGAGCATGCACTAGATGTATTGTACGTTCATGTTCCCTTTACATGACCTGTTGAAGCACGGACGAGATGCAGGAGGCCACTGCTACAAAGCCCTATTGCCCAGGATCAGTCACATTAGATTTCTTTCAGCCCTCCTTGCTCAACTTCAGCAATTAGTTTTAAAAGAATAGTTTGGCAAAACATCAAACTTACCCAACTTTCCACTGACCCCAGATACAGTCGATCAGCCAAGATATGTTTGTAGTCCAACTTTTGCTTCTTTAGTTTAGAACTGGAGCCATGAGGCTAACATTGCTAACAAATACTAAATCTCAATAGTCACCCAAATAGCCTGAATTGTTTTTGTAAACACATACCCAATACAACTTCCCTCAACTTATATCTAGGTCTTCTTTAAGTCATGCAGACTTGTTGATGTGGTTTAGAGCACAGTACGGCTTACTCTGAGCTGTAAAAATAAACAAAACTTCACCACTTTGGGTAGCCGTTTCAACCATGCAACCAGACTGATCTTGGATTAGATTCCTCTGTCTTAATGACAGTCATTGCAATGAATAATTATTCTAGATCAGCACTTCTATTCCTGGGGTTGGTTCATACTTAGAGACCCAGGCTGCCTGCAGTATTGCTCCTTTTATAGTTCACACAATGTCAAGTCTGCGCAAATTTAACGATGACCTGGATGCAGCTTGAGCTAATTGAGATAAGTTTTGGTGATATATTTTACAGAAATGATCTGAACCATTTGGGTGGCTACTGAGTTTTAGTGTTTGTTAGCTACATATAGTTCTAAAGAAGCAAAATTCGGACTCCAAACATGTCTTGGCCAATCAACTACATCTGGACAAAGTGGAAAATTGGGCAAATTTAATTTTTTTTTGCCAAGCCATTCCTTTAAGACAAGAGAGGGGAGGGGGGTAAAATACCACTGCTCTGTTCTACAGATTTGGTAATTGAGCAATGCTTCACTCCCCAATTGGCAAAATAACTTGTTTCATCCAGGGGACCTCTACTCTCCTCTATGTTCTCCACATAGGCCTCACTCACTTTGATAATAAGGCTCATAATGCGCATGAAGAGTCATGGCATGCAGGGCAAAGCCTCGTCCAAGCTAGCTCAAATGGGTGGCAGATGTTCACTTAAGTGTGTGATCCCCATTTGAGACTCTTTTAAACAGTCTTAACAGCATGCTACTTCCATGAAATGAGACAAGCCAAAAAAAAGAAATGGGGGGAAAAACATACCTCAGGTTGCTCTCGTCCATACACAGAATGTAATCAAATGACTGAAAGTCCTCCTTTGTCACCTAAAAGAAAAGGAAACAAAGAGAGGCAGAATGAGGGAGAGGGAAACATGTATCATTTCACATTCATTGACACGCAGTGACCTAAAAAGGCAAAAGGCTGGCGGTTGAGGCCGACCACCCCTCTCTGCTGTGTTCACATTATCACATTTTTCAACACTCTATTCAACACAAGATTTACTCCAAGATCTTCTCCAGCTACCCTAACGGCACTATATCCTGTATATTTCCACCAAGGCACAAACAATGAAAACAAGGTTCCACCTTTATAACACAAATCAAATATAGGTTTCAGGTAAACTGACAGTTCAATATATGAACACAGCACACAGCATGTCACATTAGAACAGGTTTTACACATTTTATATGTTATGCAAGTTACCGCTACTGTTGCATATAAGGCTACTCAACTAGCTATTACAAGGCTAATGTTTCAAGTAACATTTCAACATGCAAATGTCTGTGTTGTGTTCTTTATATTGTACAATTCAGTTTCCCAACATTGTCCACTGGAGGCTACAGTATGAAATACAAACAGACATAATTTGAAATGCCTGTTGCCCATTACATTGTGTGTAAACTTCATGATGAATAGACCAAAAGAAACGGTTCCATTGACTTGGTTTCATTGACTTAGTCAAAACATAAAGTTACTATTTTAAAGAGATATGAGTTTTTGTTCCAAAAGCAGTAATCTGGGGCTGAAAATGTATAAATTGTATTTAATAGTTGATCTGACAGGAAATAAAATATACAAAGGGTGCTCTGACTTCTGCAAAGAACTGTATATTTTTGCAGAGCTCCATTCACGTCATGGCCAAGTGCACGCAAAGCCCTTTCGCCATGATCATATGGATGTAGCTCAATACTGACATTCTAACGTTTGGAGCGTGCAACACGTCTCCATGCAGCGCTTAGCTGCATGCCAGCAAACTTCAGTGAAGGGGAGGGCTGTGAGTGGAGGATCCGTCTGTGTGTCTGCAGGAACGTTCACTCCCCTCACTGAAGGCACAAGGAGTTATGAAACGGATCAAAGCACATCTGTGGATGTGCACTCGTTTGCGTGTGTATGTGAGTTGAGCAAGAGCGGACATAATTCACACGAGACAGCCGAGCAAAGGGTCAGCCATGATGGGAATTTTTCATTCCGCTGAGAAACGGAAAAAAAAAGACAACTGGACAGCAACAAAATGAGCAGTGATAAAGAAAACATAAAAGGCGGGACAGATCCTGCGTACGCTAAAACTCACACGTCTCGATCTCCACAAAGACAGCAATCGCTAGTTTCAAACTCAAATTTGACAATGTATACTACACAACAAGATTCCTGAATGGGTTGGATATACAGTTCTAGGAAAAACTCACAATTGGTACCGAATCTTCACATTATGAAAAGGCCCTTCACACATACTCATCTCATTCACAAATTTTTCTTTAAAGAACAATCCACTAAAAGGTTCTTTAGGGAACCTAAAGTGGTTCTCCTGTGGCATCGCTCCAGAGAACCTTCACATTTAAGAAAGCTTTTCAATCATCTTGGTTTCGGCTGCATAAATGCGTGCGCGTTCAGTATACAAATGAGTTCAGTCAAAGTTCAACTCTCCGTGGCCTAAGATGAACCATGTCTTTGGGGCGTTGTACTGCCACCCACCTGGAAGTTCTGAGTGACAGTGGAAGGGTGGAGTGCGTGTAGGAGAGCTAAACGACTTCACCCAATCAGACACATCTCAGAATGAGGCATTAGCCTCAGTCTCAGGAACACAGGATGTGGAGTCGTGACCTGGCACTGTGCTCTGGGATGAAGCTCCAAGATGCTACTGGAATAATCACTGTATGGATCAGTTGGTGCTGCTATATCTAAAGCAGTCTTGCTGGGCTGTTACTAAAGCTGAAAGATTACCTAATTTTTATTATAGCCAGGGTTGGCAAGGTTGTGTTAAAAATGTATTCCACTGCAGACTACTGATTATCTGTTAAAGGTCCTTTCAACATTACAATTGTAAAATATTTTTAACAGTAAAGATATGCTGTTTAAATTAGTATTTGCCAATGTATATCGTTCAGCATTAATGGTGCCTTCACAGATGTGCACGTCATCCATGCCATGTGCACTAATGCACCCCTATACCATCATGAATACTGGCTTTTGAACTGTGCAACGATAACAAGCTGAGTGCTCTTTAGCCTGGAAGACACAGTGTCCATGATTTCCAAAAAGAATTTCAAATTTTGATTTGTCAGACCACAGGACACTTTTCCACTTCCCCTCAGTCCATTTTAAATGAGCTTGGGCCCAGAGAAGGTGGCAGCATTTCTGGATCCTGTTTATTTATGTTTTTTCTTTGCGTTTTAGAGTTTTAACTTGCATCTGTGGATTCAGCGACGAACTGTTTTCATAGACAGTATTTTTCAGAAGTGTTCCTGAGCCCATGTAGTGATTTCCACTACAAAATCATGTCTGTTTTTAATGCAGTGCCACCTGACAGCCCAAGGATCATGCATATATATATTATATATATATATATATATTTTTTTTTTTCCCTGCTAAACGCTTATTTAAACAGTATTTCTTTCTATCCATTTAATAATAGATAAATGCTGCTGCAAGCTGCTGCCTTCTAAGAACTATATGGGCATGTCAGATTCCATCATGATTGACAATAGTGTTTCCCTGGCAACATAAACATCCCCGGGCCAGTGGCAGTGGTGAGCGACAACACCAGTGATGCTAAAAATGTCACACGGAGCAGAAAGGTTGAAGAAAATGAGCTTCCCCCCAGGAAAATAGACCACTTGACTTTTCTTGACCGCTCTCTAAATGGTGAGTACAAAAGTTCAAAATGTAGAACAAGCAGTCAGACCTTCATTATAGAGATCTGACTACATTCTCAGGCTCAAAAGTTGAATGCTAAGCATTAACATTATATCCATAATCTATAGCTAGCTAGCTAACTGCTGGATTGTGCTCCTGAAATGGAGGTCACACAAGCTCCCGTCAATGAGTCGGCGTGGTCAAATTTGTGGACACTGTGGAGAAACTTCTTATATTCCTTATTGTGTGTCTTGCCTGTAAAGTACATTTGTGAAATGTTACATTCTTAATCTGATGACAAATAAAAAAAAAGAAAGTCAAAATAATAATAAGTACAAAAATACATTGTCAAATATTGGTTTGAAATATCAGTCAAATCTAAAGATCTGTATATGCCAATAATTTTTAAGCAAATAATTGCTGGTAACAATTTGATTTCCACTATTATTGTGCAGCCTTACTGAAAAGCTTTCTTTTCTTTGCATGAATGGTAAGATATAGCACACGCAGGGTTTTAGATGATAAAAAAGTTGCACATCATCATATTGGCAATCACAATATCACTGGTGTCAGAAAAAAAACCTTGTATCTCCAAAATGATAATTTTACAGGAGAAGGAAAAATCCTACTTTAATTTTAATGTAAATCAATGGAACCAGACCTTTTTCTAAGTCATTTTGGCCTGTTTCTTTTGGCCCATTCTTCATGAAATTTACAAACGAAAGGGCAACAGGCATTTTCAAATTATGTCAAAATCTAAAAAACGACAAAAATGGAGATACGAGGTTTTCTTCCAACAACAGCGATATGCTAAAAGTCATATCACAGAACAATGTCATATTGGTGTTCACTTTATTACTGCTATGTTGGCCATCTCTACTGTATAGCCTCACTATTAGTTAGACGTGCTGTATGTAATCCAGTGTTGCTGGGTCATGAGGTTAATCTGTTTCTATATTTAGAAGTTCTATATATTCTATATATAGAACTTCTATAGTTCTATATATACACACACACACACACACACACACACATTAAATTCCAGTACTATTGCAGTCTATGTAGCAACTGCCTTGTGATTTCTTTACTCCTACAAACACATGACCCAGTCTAATTTGGAATGTCAGCCAAAATAACAAGCGCAGAACATTTCCTGAGGAAGTACGCTGGAGAGATCAACAATGGCTGAAAACACAAAGGGAGATAAAGAGAGGTCAGGGGTGAGAGGGCAGAGGTAGTGAAGAAAAAGATGTCTGTCAAAGTTGATTTAGGGAAAAAGAGAAAGAGGTTGAGGTAGAGGAGAGGAGACTTTTTGTGTGGAAGAGAATGACAGAATAGAGAACTGAAATGATGAAAAATGGGGACACAAAAAAGGAGATACTAAATAGTATGTTAGAGTTGTGTGTGTTATCATATGTATCTAATATCTGTTCAGTGATTTTATGTAAACAAGAACTGGATGACAATCATGATAATACAGTCAATCAGAACATAAAGTACTATTGCAACCTATTAAAACAACACAAAGCACAAATGCAGTCAGGTGCACGATTATTACCCCAGTCCTGTGTGCTCTCATCTACACACGCATGTGCACTCGTCAAATAATCACTTGTAGCGTTCTTGGCCAAGTAAGATTCTGTCAGTTGTTTCATTGCCTTTATTTTAGGGATGCAAGATCGGAATCAGACAAGATCGGTATCTGTATTGTATTGTATGACATAAATAACTTGTGTCAGGTGCACTCACGCTGTATTTCAATGCTGCTGCTGCTACACCCACAGTATGGTGCAAAAGTCAGACAAAACCTTCACTTATTCAATTCTCAGTCAAAGCAGCATTAAGTACAAATTATTCATTGTTCAGCATCAGGAAAAAAACAGAATATCTATATTTAAGAGAAAAATACACAGAAGCCTTAATAACTAAATATAATATCAAATTGTGCAGCATTTATTGTGTCCACTCTTTGCCTTTATTACAGCCTCTATTCTTTTCAGGACACTTAGTTTCAGTTTTTCAAAGGAATCAGCAGGAATATTTTTCCACAAAGTTATTTTCCCACAAAGTTCAGTCCTAGTTGGTTGCATTTTCTGATTCACACAATCCAAGTAATCCCATTCAAGACGTTTAGTAATGTTGGGGTCTGGACTGGGTGGTCAGGCCATTGCTCTAACACCAGCAGCTTCTTTGTTTGAATTGCAAATTTGTTTTGATTGATGCTTGATTTTCTCCTCTCTCAAAAATAAGAACTTTACTGTTTATCTGATGGGGGCGGTTTTGCTGGTATGCCAGTAAGATTTTTAGGAGTCCCATTTTCTCTATATATTCTAATTAGGAACTATAGCTTTGGAAACTCCTCAGAAATATCTCTTAAAAAATGAATAACTTGTACTTAATGGCCGTTTGCCACAAATATTGCAGCATAATTACACACGACTCATTGTGCTTAACAGCCAGTTGCATTATTTTCGATGTAGCATTTCATTTGATTCATGTTCTTTCAGTGTCGGGATCAGACAACACAAATTCAGCTCAATTTTGACAAATTTGGTCGCAGTCGACAAATTTCCAGCGTCGGGCCCGAATTTGAACGTCAGTAACAAGGACTGGGTCTTGCGTGTCAAGCATGTCAGAAGTTTTTGTATCTTTCCACCAAGTTTGATATCTCCTATGACACGTATATAAACGTCCTATAAACTCATGCAAGAACATAAACGATGACTGGTCAACGTCAAACATGCAGTGTTGCCAGTCTCCTGACCAAGACATGGCACAAAATTTATGCCACTACGACAGCGTAATCTCACATAGTGACCATTGTGAAAGACAAAAAACAATCTTGTAGTCTGACCCCAGCGTTACAGGCATTTGATTTCTCATTTACAAATTTAAAATGCAAGTTTCGCCAGATGAAGAGCAAATCATGTGATTTATATTGTGACTTTAGCACATTTTAAGTACATTCTATTAGCTAAAGTGTTATACATGTTTATTTAGCCCAAATATTGTGAAAAGTGTGTAAAAAGCTATTAGCTATCAGCCAATTCGGATGTAAAGAAATTGGAACTGAATGTTGATGGATTTTTTGTTGAAAATCAGTTGTTTTTGTCGACTAATAAATTCCTTAGTCATGGACAGCCCTAATACACACACAAATACAGACAAAACTCAGCGCAGGAAGGGATGCTGTACCTGTCGTGCCCTGTGATCTGAGTCAATGCCATGTCTCCTTAGGCAGGCCAGACCACGGGCATCCGGGAAGCTGCCTATATTCCAGTCCGAGGTAGCACCAGAATCTATAACCCACTGTAACACACACAGAGAACACACAGCTGGGGCTGAGTGCTAATGCTAAGCAGGACCCCACCGTACCTGGCGAGCCACATGGCGCATGGGCACGCTGTGCTTCTTCATGCAGGCCTGGCCACGGTAGTCAGGGGGGTTGCCAATCTCATAGGTAGAGGTGGCTGCACTGTCTATCCTCCACTAAACACGTACACAGAGCAGGAGAGAAAACGGTAACGGCACAGACATCACAACACATTACAGTCACAGTAATAAGAGCTCAGTGGGTTCAGGATGTTCTCACACAGGGATCATCCACAGGGCAGATTTACATTCTTCATACTGGGCTCTACAGATTACCAGCCTGAAGCATTTTAATGCCAGAAAGAGACCTGAAAAGATACACTTACAGTACTGTGCACAAGGCAGAGATCATCCTTCAATTATTTAATTTCCAGTCAAAATGGCCATTAAGTCATTTATTTTAGGGAAAAAAAAAGAAAAGAAATGATATCTGTATCATCTCACAGAAAATTACACAGACGTCTGAACATCTAAATATAATATACATTTATTATTATTTGCTGTCTCCACAGATTTGCATTTGCTAGAGCTTCCATTTTTTCTGGAGACTTGCTTTAAGTTGTCCAAGAAAATCTATAGGGATATTTTTCCACACTTCCAAAGTTCAGTCTTAGACATTTGTGGAATTTTAGCCAGTTTAGAGGCACATGAGAAAAAATCTGCATTGTGGCTAACATCAGTTGCTTGCGTGAATGTCTGTGTCTCTTTGAAAGGGAACAATGTCAGCAACTCTTTTGGAAACAGCTTCCGGGAAGATACAGCTGATATTCGCTGGAGTTCAAATTGGAAGGACAGAAGAGTTAAAGTGGCAGCAGGTGCATAAAAGTAAAGAGTGGACAAATTAAATACGTATAGATTTGATATACTTAGTGTTGAGTTTTTTTGCGCATTTTTTTCTGTTTTCTGTGGCACTGAAAAATGAATATCTTGATTTTGATGAGTTGATGGCCTTTTTGACTGGAAATTAAATAAACGGTGGTAAAAGGGTGGTTTCAGTTTTTTGCACAGCACTATATCCATTTACACTATTCTTCAGTTATGAAGCAAGTTATTTAGTCCTTCAGTATCCACCAATTTCTGTAACAGTTTTTATATGCATTATAGACTTGTAGACATTGCACCCTATACGTTACAGAACATTATGCATTTTAATTGGTACTTAGAACAGTACAAACTTTATCATTATGTATTCTATATGAAGATGTAAGGTAATTACTTTACATGAATATGGGTTTTATGTTTGACCAAGTAGATATAAGTGAGTATAATCAAAGCTGTCCATACATTAAAATAAGACTGTTTAAAAACATAAAAATGAGTGAGAATTTTAAGTATCACAAATGAAAACATCACAATAAAGAAACGTTGTAACTCACAGCAGCAGGGTAAACATTATACTCAGTGTCTTACCTTGTCCACCACGCCGCTGTCTGTGGCCATCTTCCTGAAGACAGCCTCAGCGATGGGGGACCTGCAGATGTTCCCTATGGGACAGAAATAAAAGATCAAACAAGACTTTTAAATTCCTGTCATTGAGGGCTGCTCAATGCTGATTACGGACATGTGAGGAAACGGAACGCCAAAATCTGGGCTAACTGTGGGTCTGCGGCAAAACATCTTAAAAATGATACAAGTCCAGGCGCCATGTGTTACTGTAACTAGGACTAACTTACAATTTCATCATAACCACAAACATGATGGGCTACCTGTCAATTGATGACACTACTGTCAAGATGCATCTCAGGTACACAATGAAGTTAACTGGCTTAATTGCAACTTCAATTTCATTTTCTGAGAAACGCAATCACTAAAAGCCACAATTTTAGGCTTCTGAAAAAAAAACTTTTTCATGAGTAAATCCATGCTTGAGGAATATTAACGTTCCATTCAGGGAGCCCAGAAGGGCAGATTAGATGGCGATTAGATTTTCCAAGACGGTACTGTGTGAGTGGCAGCCTGTTGCAGCAGCTCCAGTGCGCTTTGAGCTTTTTTCTTATTGAGAATTTTGCCGTTGTGGGACTAATAAAGGATTATCTTATCTTATCTTAGACATGTTTCTGAATTCACAAGTAGTTTTGGTCAGTCAGCAACACCCTGCAGCACTGGATTTTCAGTCTCCTTATTTTTGTTGAGGGATAATTAGCATGACTATTGAAATTACCTATTGCTTCCAACATGCTGGGGTGTAAACTGTCCCACTTCTCTGTTTCTCCAGATGAATATCAGGGGTGGGCGATGTGGCAAAAATTTAATCTCAAAAAATATAATCTCTCACGTGTCACAATATTTAGTTTCTATGAGTTTGGATGACAGAAGAGACAAAAATAAAGAGCAGTAACATGCTTAAAAAAAAATCAAAAGTTTTGTAATTATTTTTATTCTAATCTTTTTAATTGAACATTTCACATACGACACTGCACCATCCAATTAATCAATACAAAACATGCTCTCTTTGTAATGAAACATGCAGCTAATCAGTGTTAAGTATTGACGATTTCCATGTTACATTCGTAAAAACATATCATGATTTATTATCTATTCTGACAATGACTAATATTGTCTAAGAGTCTAACCCTAAAAAGGTTCTTTAAAGGGCTCTTTAGCAGAGGCAACAGATCTATTTAGAACCATGAGTTCTGTGGAGAACCAATTCATACTTATATGGTTCTTTGCATGGTGAAAGAGATCGTTAGACTGACGGAGAATGTGTCGTATATGGTTCTATATAGAACCTTTTAGAAAATGATTCTATATAGCATCCAAAAAGGTTCTTCTGTTTTTTTTACAAGCTTACAAGCCATATAAAACCATTTTCACAGCCTACATATCACATTCTCCATCAGTCTGAAGAACCATTTCACCATGCAAATCATTTATGCATGAAATGGTTCTTTATAGAACTCATGGTTCTGAATAGAACCACTGCCTTTACTAAAGAACATCTGAAGAACCTCCTTTTTTTCTTCCATTTAAAAAGAACCCAAACAACTTTGTCTGATTAAACCATGTCTAAAAGAACTACACTATTTTAGAGAAAAATAAATTCTTTACATGAATTAGAAACTTTAGACGTTAAGTCTCTTATTCTGTATTAGCAGTTTCAACCCACAGCTCACATTTAGGTTCAGCGATTAAATGAACATTCTGGACAAAAGTGGGGACAGTAGGTAGCGACAGGCGTTACTTTCTGAATTCAGGGCGAACTGTAAGCTTTACATGAGTGATTACAGTCGAGCTGTGCTTCTTCATAAAGCTGTTAATGTTTAATAAGGGCAGTGGAGAGTGGAAAGTAGGACAGCTCTGACCGGCTACCACTTCAACTGGCATTCAATGAATGAAACCGAGACACTAACAGTAGAACCGCTTCGCTTTTTATTCCAACCGCTAACGACCTCATCTGTTTAAAACACGTGGCCATTAAATTTGAGTAGTTTGAAGATGTCTGAAGGTGTTTAAGTCCTATTTCTTACCCAAGCACACGAACAACACTGACTTCCCGCTGACGGCGGCCATGTTTGTGTGTCGTCAGTTGACATGAGCGCTGAGGGCTGCCTCTCATTGTGCCTGCATACAAACCCGAACACAACTCTCCTTCAAAGAGAAGGTGGTACCGACTGAAAGGTTGGTATCCTGATAACATTGCAGATAATTTTAAAAGATCTGCACATAATAAAATATCTATGAATTCTATAGTAAATTAGCAGATATATACATCACTAAAAACTTTTGAAAATCTTTATTAGTCTTAAGGGGAATTCCACCTATTTTTCTCCGAATCACTGAGATGTAAACAATTCAGTCATAGTGGTTTGATTTATGCTCCATTCACTAGAAACTTACTGAATAAGAGTTTTTTACAGTTGTGGTGATAGGAACCAGACATTCAGCATGTCTAATGCCTCTAAAAGTTATCTCATATAAAGATAATATGAAATGGTTACGAATATGCTGCTTCATGCCTAAGAAATTGTTTTACAATAGTCTGTGATAGGGTTTTGGTCTAAAACTTTTTTCCCTTGTCTTTAAAAAAACCAATCATGGTGGAGGGGTAGACCAGACATTGTAAGGAAAAATAGTCCCCAATTTTTTTTCTTTCTAAATTTATCACTATTTTACCATTTTACTATCAGTTATCATTGCAGTGCTGTTTAGTGCCTAAACAAGTCAACAATGGTGCTTCTTTCCAAAACAGTTGTCCCTATTGTCCCTTTGAACCAAAGAAAGCCATTCTATCTATACAGAAGGTCTGACTGTATGAAAAGAAACAGTTTAAACTAAGGCTGATTCATCGTTTTATAAAATCAAAATCGCAATTTAAAAGAGTGCAATTTTCAAATTGTAAGAGCTGCAGTTTTGTATTCACACCCTACATTATCAACAACATTGCATCAAGTTTTAAGTGGGGAAATTTAACCCAATAACAAACTGCCTATAGATGAGTTAGACCAATCAAAAGCAACCAAACACTCATTTTCTGTGATATCACAACCACGACTGGCAATCTGGTACCCTAGGTTAAGCATTCAAGCCTCAAGCCAGAACAATTGATATTATTGGTCGAAAAACAGACCTGGACCTCAATATATAGATAATAATCGCAATTTAAATCGCAGTTATAATATTTGCCAGAAAATTGCAATTAGGTATTGTCCCCAGATCGTTCAGCCCTAGTTTAAAACTTCATAAGACATTATATAAAAATGCTTGGATTCTGGGACATTTTGTATCTAGGAATGAATTTTTTTTTTTTCCAGGACGGGCAGCTAAAATCCCGGATGATATAGGAAAATCCTGGATGGCTGACGACCCTATCAACATTACATATATAGACTCAGATGACACGTGTATATTCACTGATGCTTTGGATAGTAAATGAAATGGTTATATTTGTGTTATAGACATTGTGACCTCAGGTTCCTATCATCACCAAAAAAAAAGAAATCAAAGAAGTAAGTTTTGATTAAGTATTGATTACTGTAAAAAAAAAGTGCTAGTCAGGAAGTAACGAGTTTCTAAAATCTGAATTATCAGTCCTTGCTTAGTCTATAGCATGGTTTAGTCTAGTGCAATATTTTGTGATATTATAAGAAAGGTCTGTGTCTTTTATATCATTGATGGAATGTGCTCAGTTAATTACGCGGCTCGAGTTGTGTCCGAGTGGGTCTCATAAACTGGTTTAGCCTATTAAAAATTACACATCCCTTTGGCTCACTTTCAGATGTCAATAGCAGACTGTTTTCTGGGGATTTATTCATTCTTAGTGGCTTGTGTCTTGTTTCTATTTTAGGCAGACTTATCTCCTAAAGAATGCGTCTGCTGTATCTGTAGTTCTGTAGTTCACTTTGCTCATGGGAAAGTTCTGTTTGCCAGACCATATAAGAGTGAAATGTTTTGCCACCTGGTTGCCTAATCCGCTTAAATTTGCTTTCTCAGTTGTTATGAAACAAGATTATGTTTTAGCCATGTTCTGTATTGCAAGAATAATGTGCAATTTCACTTTCTTTTTTACACATATAGCAGAGCACACATAGCTGCGAGCCTGTGTTGAAATGTGGTACCACTCAGTTCATACTGTTCTCATTTCCACAACTTTTAACTGTCAGTATGATGGATATCTGAAAGTAAAGGTAATTTTATAGTTGAATTGAACCTATGGACCAGTCTCTCACATTGTATCACTATATCAGAATACACATCTGGCCTGAAATAGCACTCACTCACACTGTGTGATGTGATGTTAGGTGTGTATTTCTTCCTGTGAGGTAGTAGTATGTAGTTTCAACATGATAGCCTACTTTTAGATACTACTTTTAAAGGGGACCACTGTCTTTTCAAAATGTAATAGTTCAAATTGAATAGTTCAGTCTTTGTGAGTGGTTTGATGTGAAATTATTAATTGCAGAGAAACTTAACTACTCAAATTTCTTTACAGTGGTGATGATAGGAAACAGGGGTGTGATATCTACAACACAAATATATCCTTTTTATTTACTGTCTAAAATGACCTGTGAACCTACACGTGTTTTCTTAGTTTTTATATGTGATGTTTATGCTACATTGTGCACCCCTAGTCAAATGTTTTGTTGAATATCTAAGTGAAAATAAGTTAATCCATCATACACAGAAAACACACTTCTATACATTTTAATGCACAATTAACGCTTATTTGCTGAATTTAACATATTGGGTAAAAAAGAAAAAAAACATAAAATGTGGCCTGTGTTTAAGGCACATTTAATAGTTTAAGGTTTTTTCCAGTATGTTAAAAAAATAGAAATTGCGCACTAGAATTTACAGAAAAACACCATATTTAAGTATAATGAAAATCAACAAAACTTGCAATTTGACCAGTGTGTTCAAACTTTTGTATATTTTTAAACAATCAGTGTAATTAGGTGAAGTGCTTCAGTTAAAAATAGGTCAGTTTAATGCTGAAGAAATGGTCTCTTGCCATCTCTAGCAAATACTCAAATAAACAGATGAACAAATGCAGCACTCGTTCAGAGAAGGAAACAGTCCTCTGTGATGACTCATAGTCAAAGCCAGCTGAGGAGCCATGTCTGTTAGGTCTATTGTTACGCTGCCGGACAGTGCTGGACGTCTCCGAATGTTTGCTTCACACTTCCCATCCCTTCCAGTTTGGCACTCTGTATCCGTGGCTGTAGAAGATGTTTTTCATTTGTCTTTTCTGACACGGATATAAATATGATTCATTGACATCTAAGACAAGGATGCATGTAAAGGTTAACTTAGTCACTCTAGTCCTGAATTATGCTTATGCTTATGAATCATGATTTAATAATATATTATCATTGAAATATATAGATCTATATTTTACATGTAAGGATATGGTCAATAAAAAGAAAGACATAAAATAACACAATATATTTTTACTTTAATTTTCTTAATATTTTAAGTTTGATCTATTTTTTCTTTGGTTTCTTTTTAAAAATATTTGTTTGCTTGTGTATCAACTATCCCTGATATGTCACTGCTGTGTCTGATCCACTCAGACCAGCGCAACACACACTAACACACCACCACCACGGCAGTGTTACTGCAGTGCTGTGAATGAGCCACCACCCAAATAGTACCTGCTCTGTGAGGGTTCATGGGGGTCCTGACCACTGAAGAACAGGGTAAAAGGGGGCTAACAAAGTATGCAGAGAAACAGATGGACTACAGTCTGTAATTGTAGAGCTACAAAGTGCACCTATATGGTAAGTGGAGCTGATAAAATGGACAACGAGCGCAGAAACAAGGAGGTGGTCATCATGTTATGCCTGATCGGTGTGTGCATATATATATATATATATATATATATATATATATATATATATATATATATATATATGACCTCTGTCTTGAATGGCTGTTTTGTGCCTCATTAAAAAAAGCTGTTCAGGCTGAAAGACACCTTATAACAATGTGCAGAGCTAAACTGCGGTAGACTCAATAGGTTAACGTATGTGATGTTGCAAAACAATGAATTCTAAACAGTATGTACAGACAGCAGCTTTCAAACCTTCTGCAATGTCTACCTATTCTTTCATTTAAAAAAGTAATTCATTTTTCTGTAATATGGACCCTTCAGTTCAGGTTTTTCAGTGTGTAACTGAAGTCTGTCATTTCTTTGGGAGAGACTGTAATATCTACAGATGCTGCAAACCCTCCAGTGCTGTATTTTGGGCTGCTCTTTATACAGGGTGTGCAGTTACTTGATGGGAGCTGATTAAATTTCACATTTTCAATTGGGTGGTGGAGTTACACTGATGCACTGTTTTCAGTTTTTCCTCACGCTTTTTATGAGAGATGTGTCATGCTGAGGAGGTGTGCGATGGATTTGATTCAATAGAAACTGCGTTTGTTAGGTCATCTCGCCCTGCCCGTCAGATTACTCACACGCCATGGCACCAAGAGCAACTCCTGCTTTTCCGCAGCAGTCTACTCTTACTATGCCAAAGGCCTTGAGACTGATTCTCACTGTCATTTTGCCTCTTCCATATGGGAACAAAAACATGGTTTTTATCAGACATGCAACAGTATTGGAAAGTATTAAATTACTTTAAAATGACTTTTATATATGCTTAAAATAACTTTCATATATGCTTCCAAAATGGGTCTTGGCTTGGACAAGTGGCTCTACCTTTAATTTATACAGAACCTTTACATAATGTGAAGGTTATTTAGCCCCTTTTTACAGTAGCCATAAAATGCAGTTTCCACATCTCTTGAAAGTCCTTTGATTGAGCCACATATGCATTTTTTTCCTCCAACAACATTGAGGGAACATATTTATATGATGCAAATGTGTATGTTTAAGAAAACCAAACTGGATTTGCATCTTCAAAGGTGAGCAAGCGAGTCACATTTTTAAAAGTGTTTAAATGCTCATTGCCATGTGCTTTTGTTTACGTCTACCATGTGCCTTTGTTTTTAGTGCCATGTGCTTTTGTTGTTGTTTTAGCTCCTCCCTGTCCTGCCCTGACTTCAGCCTTCACCTGTTCATTGTTTCCAAGCCCTGCCCTCTCATTAGTCTCAGGTGTTCCTTGTCT